TTAAATTATTTTTTAATGTTATGTTTTATGTTTATATCGTCAAAGTACTTTGTTTTTGTCGGTGAATTCGTTTTAACCTTAGTTTAATATCTGCTACAAGTGGGTGATAATCAGTTCCAATATCTGCCTCAGGAAATACAGTGACTTCTTTGACGGTATTTCGGAAACGCTTACAAGTGTATAGTCTATTTGATTTCTTGAGGACTCAGGTTTATTACCATAATCAAATGGGGCTTTCCATGTGTATAGTCGTCGCTTGGGTAGTTTATACCAGGTGTTTGCAATGATCATTTTGATTTCTTTACCAAATGCATATAATCTCTGTGCTCGATCCTTTTTCCTATTTTATATTTTTGTTTTATTTCCGAATAATCTAATGTCCGTTCCTTGTTTTGTTGTACAAAGGTTCTTCGTTCTTTCATTAATGTTCTTGTTTCTAGATCATGGTAAATAAGCATTGAAAAAGGCATCTATGATAATTTATAAAAAATAGACATTTAACTTTAATTTATTAAAATATATAATAAAAAAACTAATACAACACAAAAATATTTCCAAAAATTGTGCTATTTTATATGCGCAATAAAATGCTAGAGGCACTTAAATTTTATATTTTACAATATAAAATACTGTTATGTCACACAAAATACTTATTGCACTCACTACATTTTAATAACACAGAACTTAACCTAATCTAAGCTTAAACTATTTTAAACTTAACACATATCGCAGTTCTTTCCTAAGGCCGGCCACTCACGATACTGCTACGTCGTTCAATTTTATCGAATTTGACTAATTGACAAACATTTTGATCGTCTGTGCCTGTGCATCCAACAAAATTGTTACAATTTTACCACAGAGAAACTGGTTTCTATGATGCAGTATTGCAGAATTGATATCATCGACGATTTTGTCGCACGACCCCGCAGTATCGTGAGTGACCGGCTTAAGAGTATTTGATTTCTTTTAAAGTTAATAAATGTATTTAATAGAGGTGAATTGTTAAACAATAACTCTTAAAAGTCTTTAAAACTTAACGGTAATTCCTTAAATAAAAGTATCACATCATCATTCTCATGACTCTAAATGTGTATCTGGTTTATCGATTGTATCACGTATCATTTGAAAAAAAAATGTGAAGTATCTAGCCATTGATTTACGTGAGACTGATCACGTAAATATCTATTTTTTTGTCTTAAATTGTTATTAATACATGATAAAATCGACGTTTACTCTTAATATACCAAGAACACAAAAGAGTTGAATAATCGTAATGGTAACATAACACCTCTATTTGCATAAGTGTTTCTGAATATAAGAATTCTTACATTAATAATATTTAAGAATAATGTATATCATAGTCAGAAAAACTCTGGTATTTCAGTTTTAACATGCAAAGTAAAATTATTAATATTGTTTCGACTTCCACAGCGGACGTTGTATAATACGTCTTGTAAATCGATAAAAATAGACTACTTCTAGAAGAACAATCAGTCATCTTTGTGACCACTTAAGAAGTGAAACGTAAGTCATGTTTTAATTTTAAATCATTGAATTTCGTGTTATTGCACACCGTCACCTGCTAGCTCTTTCTAGAACAGGTGTTCTTATTATATAACGAGCTAAGTCAGCCGTTGATAGATCAGTTTTATGAGTATTGGCGTAGTGATTATTTTGTAAGGCGATTTCCATGACCATTAATGTAATTAGAATTTATGGTATTTGTGATTTAATAAGTTTTTGTAGTTGAGTAGTTATACTAAGACAATTTTTAATTACAGGTGGCTCATCTACAAATTAAACTGATAGCTAACGGAAACCATGTTTAATGTCAGAAGTAATTTCTTACTGGCGTCATTTTTATTGTGTATGCTTCGCCATATTCAGAAAAGTTACCGGCGTCATATTCAGAAAAGCCTTATGGGAAAGTAAAGAGGGAATAAGAATTGGTGGTGAAATCGTAAACACCAGGAGATTTGCAGATGACACGGTAATTATTGCTGAGAGTATAGAAGAACTACAAACTTTACTAGATGCAATAAATAGTGAATGCATTCAAATGGGACTTGACATCAACACACATAAGACCAAATTTATGATAGTATCAAGGAGTCCAATAAATAAGAACAACGAACCCTTGGTGGACAGCAAATAGAAGTTTGTCAGAACTCAGTAAAAACTATGCCCCGAAGAATTGTCATGTATGTCCTTTGGTGGATGTATAATATAGGAGATACTCAGTGGTCAACTTTCACATTTTATTTGTTAATATTACATATTCTATGCAGTTTTTTAAATTTATTTTGGGCCAACTGATATGGGAGCTTGAGCAGTATAATTATTAATCAGAAGGTTTTCGCCCTAAACAGATCTCTATCTCTAGACTACATGTTTAGTCTTTATAGACAATCATGTGGGAAGCCAAAAAAAAAGACAGACCGGAACGGAGAAAAGACAAGATCAGAAGAAACGAAATTACAATAACAAACTGTCGTGAAGTTACATTACAAAATCATAGTGTCGATTACAGATTTAAATATTCCTATAAACATAATGAGTAAAGCTTTTTGCGCGGAATTGTAGTATCACAGTAGCTAATATAAAAGCAAAATAGAGAGTTTGGTATTACAACAGTCGATTATTATCTTACTTTTTTATTTTCCTTGACTGATAACCTGACCTGACTAATATGTTCATAATTTGATTTTGACAACAATCCATATTCGAAAGTCGAAAAGTTTGCTAGATGTTAGTTTTACCCTTTACCCGAGTGTAAATCACCTAGTTTATATCACTTTCAAATGATTCTTCCTTAATAAGGAACATAGTCTAAAACTGCTGGTTACGAAAAGTAAAAACAGTCTCACATTCGACTTCTACAGGGTGTTTCAAAAAAAGGTAACCCCGTCTCTAGGGTAGGTAAAAAACTAAAAAATAATTGGGGTTTGCTTAGTAAAAAATTTTTGTAACGCCATCCGTTTTCAAGATACAGGGCGTTGAAGAAAAAAACATTTACGCATTTTTTACGATTTTGTTTCGTTTTACGAAACTACTGGCAACATTGTAATGAAATTTTATACGAATATGTTTTGGAAGCTGATACATCCCATGAATTTGTTTTTACATCTGATTCTCATAGAGGGCGCTAGTTACACGGATCGTACTAAGTATTAGTCAATATAACTTTTTTAAGAGTATAATTATTAATCAAAATTTCAAGTAAACTTAAACTCATTCAATTTTACACTAAAAAGGTACTCTTGGTAAAACTCGATACTGTGTACCGTTTTCGGAATATTTTGATTTGAAAATTATGAAGTAATAATTGATGCTGGTAGTAATGATAAAGTTCTAATAGGTCATGGTTCTCCAAGTATGCCATGGAAATCTGAAATTTATTGATTGTTATGACGATAAATCAACAATAATTAGTTTTGAAACCTTGTTATTTGTAAAATCAAATCAAAATGTACTCAAATGTCGAATACACTGACATGTTACTAACCTTAGGCGAATGTTTAGGATGTTCTAGTGCAGCTGTGACACGTTATGCAGAAAAGTTTCCTAGAAGAAACTTACCAAGTAAAAAAACATTTAGAGCCGTTGAACAACGTTGTCCAGAAACTGGGAATGTGAGACTAAATAAAATAAATTCTGGTTCTGACCAAGAACAACAAGAACAATTAATAAAGAAAATAATATTTTAAATTTACTTGATCAAGATCCAACGTTAGCGTAAGGAATATAGCAAGACAAACAAATACTTCTTCTTCAAGTACTTGGCGGATACTGAAAGAACAGCAATTACATCCTTATCATTACAGACAAGTCCAAGAGCTCTTGCCAGATGATCTACCGGTTAGAGTGGATTTTTGTGAAATATTGCAACAAAGGACAGCCCACAATCCAAATTTTTTAAAACACATTCTTTTTACGGACGAGGCCACCTTTACGCGACAAGATATATTTAACTCCCATAATGCACACTACTGGTGTGATGAGAATCCACAAGTCAAAAGAGTATCACATTACCAACACTCCTTTAAAGTTAATGTTTGGGCAGCAACTTTGAGTAACAAATTAATAGGTTATCATATTCTACCTGGAAATTTAAATGGTGATATGTATCTTGATTTTTTAAACAATTCCTTATTCGAGATATTAGAAGATTTAACGCTAAACGAGCGAAGATCTTTATTTTTTATGCACGATGGAGCTCCACCACACTTTGATAGAAGGTGTCGTAATTGGTTGAGTAATCATTTTCCGAATCGATGGATTAGTAAAGGTGCAGAAGTTCCAATTTATTGGCCTCCTCGGTCATGCGGTTTTAACCCTTTGGACTACGCAGTTTGGTCGTATATTAAAGAAAAAGTCTATGCTACAGAGGTAAATTCACGCCAAGAATTGGAAGAAAGAATTCAACGTCAATTTAATGACATCATAGCTGATTCCCTACCGTTCAGAAGGTTAATGGAATCTTTAGAAAAAAGAATAGATTTGTGTATTTGCGAAAAGTTTGAGTTTTGTTTAATTACTAACTATTTTATACCAGCATCAATTATTACTTCATAATTTTCAAATCAAAATATTCCGAAAACGATACATAGTATCGAGTTTTACCAAGAGTACCTTTTTAGTGTAAAATTGAATAATGTTTAAGTTTACTTGAAATTTTGATTAATAATTATACTCTTAAAAAAGTTATATTGACTAATACTTAGTACGATCCGTGTAACAAGCGCCCTCTATGAGAATCAGACATAAAAACAAATTCATGGGATGTATCAACTTCCAAAACATATTCGTATAAAATTGCATTACAATGTTGCCAGTAGTTTCGGCAAAATCGTAAAAAATGCGTAACATTTTTTTTCTTCAACGCCCTGTATCTTGAAAACGGATAGCGTTACAAAAATTTTTTATTAAGCAAACCCCAATTATTTTTCAGTTTTTTATCCTAGAGACGGGGTTACCTTTTTTTTGAAACACCCTGTATACAAGTTACTTTTATAGGTTGCAATTAAGGCACTGATAATCACTAAGATAAAAGATGTTATACATACTTTAGTTCAATAGAAATTGTAGACACTAAATTCCAGGAGATGGTGATGACCAGGTGAGTTATTCTTAGTCTTCCTGGTGAGGGGTACTGAATAATTTTTACAAATTATTAGTACCACTATTTTCTATATTATTATATGGACTATGGATTATATTGACTATCAAAAAGTCAAAATAATATGCTTACATTAATTATACAATCTGCTCACATTAAATGAGGTCAAATTATTGGATCACTTACAAACTTTGTGATAAACCCAGAACTGAGGTATTTTTCAGTTTTTTCGTTATCAATTTCTTATAATTCGTTCTGAGTAAACGGAGATAAAACTATTTTTGTTGTAAAGTTATAATTAACAACATTATGAAGTACACAACATGTAGAACCTAACAAAGTGAATTTTAAAAAATGTGACAGATAGGAAGAGACATTTATACAATTAAAAACTTCAATCATATTCCATAAATCATTGATTGTATCAACACTCAAACTTTACATTTAAACATAAAGCAATAGATGCTGCTTTAGTTTGCTCCCGAACCCAATTTCCCTTTTTTTAATTGTTTGGAAATTCCCATTATATGATAACGTGTTTGTTCTTGCTATTGTTGAAATACATCAGTACTACAGTTAACCTGAAGCGATTAATTCATTTTATAGGATTCAAATTCAAGTAGCGAGAGGAAATTTATCTTTTAAAATGGACGATATGAAATGTCTGCTAGATACAGCTATAGAAAACGTCACGACTCAGTGGAAACTTGCATTACATAAATACTAGAAAGGCAGGAAGCAGAATGTAGAATCAAGACACTAGAGTGGATATTTCCGTTGAACCTTCAATTATCAAAGTGGTTAATAGTAATTGCAATAGTTCTTCATCATCTGACTAGTTTTTTTTTCAGACAATAGTTAATATTTTGACTTTTTGTGAATGTCGAACTACGCAATCAAGATTGAGTGATGAATTATTAATATAGAAGTTGATAAATCATCCATAATCACCTGACAACAGTGTTGTCGATAAAACTCAATTATCATTTCTCAGAATTTAGTGCCTACAATTGTGATACTCAACTATAGTCTAATCTAAAGTTATATTTATGTCAAAAATATAGATTTTTATAATTTTAAAATTTGAATAAGACTTATATATCGCTTACATAAGTATATGAAATTATCTGCAAATCATAAAGTTCACACAAAATCCTCATTAAGAAGATGATAGCAGGGTAGTTTCTTTCCCTGTTTTCTTAATAACTTCTAAAACATCATTTGCAGGTAGAGACCATTTTATAACCACCTTTTGAGTCTCAAAATTAATGGTAAATTCTTCAACTCCTTTGTCTTTTAATTTATTTAAAACTCTTTCTACTGCACCAGAACAACCATCACAGGTAATTTTTACATTAAATTCGTGAACTTTGAACATGATTACTGGAGAATTTTACGTATTCTTTGTCTCTACTTATGATTTAGATTTCAGATACAAAATAATTATTCAAGAATTTAAAAAATGTTGATGCAATTTTTTTAATTTTTAACATTTTTTAAATTCTTGAATAATTATTTTGTATCTGAAATCTAAATCATAAGTAGAGACAAAGAACATGTAAAATTCTCCAGTAATCATGTCCAAAGTTCACGAATTTAATGTAAAAATGACCTGTGATGGTTGTTCTGGTGCAGTAGAGTTTTAAATAAATTAAAACACAAAGGAGTTAAAGAATTTACCATTAATTTGGAGACTCAAAACGTGGTTGTAAAATCGTCTCTACCTGCAAATGGCGTTTTAGAAGTTATTAAGAAAACAGGGGAAGAAACTACCCTGCTATCATCTTCTTAATGGGACTTTTTTGTGAACTTTATGATTTGCAGCTAATTCCATATACTTATGTAAGCGATATATAAGTCTTATTTATATTTATGTCATTGTAACATTATTTCCTAATTTGTATTATCACACAGTACACACAGATGAGGCTTCCGGGGTTGGGGTACCTGCGTCGGGCTAATTATTTTGACGTCACCTGCTAGGCTAGACCTAAAGCACAGGCGCAGACTTCAAGGCCAGTCCAATAACAAAAAGTTTGCAACTGAAGAGGTGGATTTCAAAAGGGCATAAGTAATTGTTTTTCACAGTTTGAGGTTTTAGTTGTATCTGATTCTAGAGCATCATTTCTAACAGAAAAACAATTCATGCCATAACAGCTTAAGTCAAGTGTATACAGATTACAAATCACTAATGTTTTCCAAAAGTGCTTTAGTCATGCCTTGTTCTTTTCCAAACAGGGTTAAGTCAGCTGTTAAGTGTTTGCGCATGCGCGATCCCAGGTGTCAGCAGCTATTTGCTGTGAGTTTTTGGTTACGTTGACTGTTTGAGGTGAAACAAGTGAGTAAACGACATTAATAGGGCCAAGAAGAGGAAGAGAAAAAGAGAAGAGAAAAATTAAGACCTGCGGGACAAAAATCGCAAGAAATAGTACAGAAGCTCATCCATATCTATTGACTCCTATTGATGTAAGTAGCTGTTATGATAAAATCTACTCACATAGGACTGCTGATGATCAGAACAACTTCAAATACCTTCTAAATCAAGAGTCTAAGAAACATAGGCCTACGAACTCGAACAGTTACAAAATTCTTCATACCACAGACAAATGGTGTTTTATTAAGTGTGTGTAATTCCACATTCCTGTCCATCACATAATTTTCATCAAAAAAATTGAATCGATTAGCTACAGCTTTAAAATAGTCAGGAGAATGTCCTCATTAAAGCGAGGTGGAGCTAGGATAAAACCCAAAGATTCAAGTAAAAGTTAATCAATGATTGATTTCATAAAATCATCAAAGTGCTGTGAAAGTCATTATGGTCGGAGTATTCTCGGTCGGAGTTATCTATTAAAAAATTGTGGCGTATTTGGAAACAGACTCAAAAAGTCAGAAGAAGTCACTTGCATCTTACTCAAAGTTCTTCAAAATCTTCCAGCCGAAAGTCAGTCTAAGTTTTGGCAGTGCAAAGATAGACGTTTGTTCATTTTGTGATCTAACAAAAAGTAAAATAAATAAGATTGCTTTATTACTAAGTACAGATTGCACAAGTTACGAGCTAAAAGAAAATATGAACTGCTTCAAAGAACAGAAGCTAAGATATCTTTTGACACGGAACAAAAACCAGCCTCTTCCAAAACTAAGAGTTGGTGATGTATTTTATTCTCGACAAATTTGGGTTTATAACCTTACTTTTGTATTGATGGAAGATACACAAGATTCTACTAATACTTTTTTGTACACATGGACAGAAAACCAGAGTGGGCGAGGCTCCAATGAAGTAGTTTCAGCTCTGTATAACTTTTTGGCCATTTTGGAAGACAAGTTTAAAAATGTTCCAGCGAAATCATTGACACTTCAACTGTTTTCTGATGCTTGTTTTAGGGTTTCCTACTTACTTATGTGCAGGCTTTCAGAGCGTTTAGTGATATTCAGCATTGCTTTCGAATCAGGGGACGTAACGTATGCCTCCTGATAAGAGTATTTGGACGTCTTGAAAAAATATTTAGAAGAAAAGAAACAATAGTTGAACCAGAGGAGTACAGTTCAAGTTTTAGGAAAAATCTGGGAACTTTTTGATTTCATGGATGCTGCAAAACGAGTTTTATTGAAGAAGCTCCCTATTGAAGAAATAATAAAGACATTGAAGCTAAAAATACCTACTATGATGATTCTAGTACTTTAAAGTTATAAAAAAAGGATGCAATTTGCTGGGAGTGTAAAGTACAGTGAAGTCTATGTCATCAGTGAATACTGTAAGTGAAAAGAAGAAAAAATATGTGGAAAACCTTCTCAAATTTATTTCATTATCTGAAAGTTCAAAGGATTATTATAATACTGTACTTAACAATGTGCAAAATGGTTCCAACGATAATAATACTGTAGTGTATGATGAACTAGAGCCTTTTATTTGAAAGACTTTTCAACTTTACTTTTCAAATTTTAACAAAAATGTGAATACAGTAGAACCCCGATTATCCGTGCGCGATTTATCCGGGCGGAGGATTCTCCGTGCCGCATATTAAATTGATCATCCGTGCGCGGATTATCCGTGGCTAACGACCAGAGGTTGGTGGCGCCCATGAACGATGAATAATGTAACCGTGTAAACATTAATTTCGGGGAATCCCCAGGTTTTCTCATATTTTCGTCATCTGCTGACTAGTTCGTTAGTTGAACGTAAACAGGCGCACAAAATGCAGCGTACGGGTGCTAATGAAAAGCGTAAACGTAATGTTTTAACTATTGAGCAAAAAATGGAAATTTTGAAACAATTTGAAAATAAAATAAGTGTTGCTATGTTGGCTAAAACATATAATATTGGGAAACAAACAGTTCGTGACATTTTGAATAAAAAATCCGAATTACAAAGCTTTGTAGCTAGAGCGGAATGCAGCGCAAAAGCAATTTCTGACAGGAAATCTCTAAAAGGGTCTACGTTTCGAGAACTTGATGATGCTATGACCAAGTGGTTCTTGCAGAAAAGATCAATGGGGGTTCCAATATCAGGACCTATGTGTGATAGGCAAGCTGAAAAGTTTCACGAGCAGTTGAAAATTAAAGGCATCGTCTCAGCATCTTCTGGTTGGCTTTACAGATTTAAAAAAAACGTCATGGAATACGAGAATTAGCTGTTCAAGGGGAGAAATTAAGTGCTGTTAATCTAGCTATGGTAGAATTTTGCTACGATTTTGAAAATCTCACAATGGAGCACGACCTAAAACCTGAGCAAGTGTATAATGCAGACGAAACTGGGCTTTATTGGAAAGGGATGCCGAGAAAAACCCTTGTAGCAGGCTCAGAAACGTCTGCACCAAGTTAGCTTTAATTTTTTTTACGTATAAACTATTTTTCAAAATAATTTTTTTTAGGTTTCAAATCAAGCAAAGACCGTGTAACAGTTTTATGCTGAGCTAATGCCTCAGGAACCCATAAGCTTAGGTTAGCCGCCATTGGAAAATCCAAAAATTCGAGGGCTTTTAAAAATATAAAAACACTGCCCGTTGATTATTATAATCAAAAGGCAGCTTGGATGGATCGTGTAATTTTTAAACAGTGGTTTTTCCAAAAATGTTACAGCTTATCTACAAGAAAATAATCTTCCACCAAAGGCTGTACTGTTACTGGACAATGCGCCATCGCATCCTGATGTAGAGCAACTAAAGTCAGCAGATGGGAACATATTCGTAGCATATTTTCCTCCGAATGTAACATCTATTGCCCAGCCAATGGACCAAGGTGTTATCGAGGCCATCAAAAGGCTTTACAGCAAAGATTTTATGCTTCAACTGTTGGGAGATTGTGATATTGTGGGATTTTGGAAACGCCTAAATTTAAAAGAGGCAATTTATGCTGTAGCTCGGGCTTGGAGTGAAGTGAAAACGGATCATAGTAAAAAATCATTTTATAAAATAATGACCTTAGAAGATATGGAAGATGAAAACGGTAATCACGTAAATGAAGGTGAGCTATCGGTCGAAAACATTGCATCTATAGCCTCACAAATCAAAGGTTTGGAGGGAACGAACAATAACGAAATACAGGAATGGATAGAATGTGATCGTCAAGAAACAGGGTATCAGATTATGAATGACGATTATCTTGAGAAAGTAGTGATGATGATGAGAATTGTGCTGACAATGATTGCGTCATTAAGACAAGTCATCGGGTAGCAAGGGATGCAATAAATGTACTTATTCAATATTTTGAGGAACAGCGTGGAGCTGATGAAATTCATGTACTTCAGCTTAAAAACATAAAGGAAATTATAAAGTGTAGAAGTTACGAAGCTCAAAAACAAACCAAAATTAGTGATTTTATAAACGATTTTTTTTTAAATATGTAGTGTTTATTCATAGCATATACATTATGTAGAAATAATAATATGTATGTACTTTTATTTTTGTTACATGTATGTTGTATGTATCACATTTCTGCTCTTCGTTTGACACATGTATTTATCTAAATAAATTATTAAAAAAATAAATTGAGGTCTTTGGATTATCCGTGTTTTCGATTATCCGGTGAAGGCTCGGTCCGGGCTGGCCCGGATAATCGAGGTTCTATTGTAATTGATTTTGATGAATAATTAATGTACTTAGATAGTTATTAAACCTATGTTGACATCTTAAAGACAAGCTCTGATTATCAATAAATTTACAAATGAAGTTGTCTAACACATGAATTCTCCAAAAGTGCTTAAGTCACTGACATAGACTTTTTAACATAGACTGCTCAGTCTACGTCAATATGAGTGTCTATGATGGTGGATAGATTGAGTCAGCTATGGTCATTGTCATCATGCATTTTAACGCTTAATGTAAACTCTGTTGATTATTAAGTCGTAGGACCCAGGTTGCGCTACCCATTAGCCTCGTCTGCTTCAGATCTTAAGAAAATAAACGAACCGTTGGATTTCCATATTTTTTGACTGGAAAAAATACATAAAACGATCGATTAATGTAAGTTTTTGGCTCAACAATTAAAAATTACTTATTATCTGCATCCAAATGTTGATTTAAAAGAAGTACTTTTTAAAACATTGACGTGTTACAAAATTTCTAAAGCAATGCAAGATAATTGGCGTTTTAAAATTAAACAATATAGAAATATCGACAAATTCGTGCCTTTGTCGGGTTTTTTAGTATGTCAAATCGGATTTAAAAATAATGTTTTTATTGTTAAAAATATTTTTCAAGCTACCACTAATACTGATTTTTTAACATTAATGAAACAAAACAAAAAATCACATATGTACATTAAAATTTGTTTTTTTTTTACTATACATTGCAGGAATCTCTTTTTCTTTTCCGTATAATCTTTGATTGTCATGAGTTTAATTATAAAATACATATTACAAAAATTCTTTTTAGGAAAGTATTACGCCGATTGATAAAAATAATAATTGAAAAGTAAACATTTTTTCTCTTAAACTAACAACATAAATTTTTGAAAATATATAGTTTATTGTTGATACTGAGTGTCTATTTGGACGGCTCCAATCTTTTGAGTGATTTGATTAACAACAGCATCAGTCCTTCTAGGAAATGGAGCTCCCCAGAAAGTGCACAGCGTTTCACATAGATCCATGTACTGCAACCATTTTTTGTCGGAAGCCAAAACTTGTGCGCATCCGATGATTATCAGTTTACTCATAGCTCTGGTAATTGCGACATTGAATCTCTGAAAAATAAAGTTATTGTTACATTAAAAAAACGTTATAGAGAATGTAGCATGAATTTTTTCTTTACCTCTCGAATATTTAAAACGTATAAAAATTTATTTGATACGCTCCTGGCTGGTACGTAATAATAATCCGAAGTTTTGTTTACCCAGGTGTATGTGCGAGACATTCAAAGAAAATATTAACTGCGTCAAAAATTTGAAGGCCCAGCATTTTTAAGGTCCATGATCGAATCTAAAGCGTGATTAAAAAAGAGATCCGATTGGCTGGCAGTTAGAAACTAGAACATAAAGAGATGAGTGGACGGGAAGTGGGAGTTGAAGGTCGAGAAAGGCGAGGTGAACTAATTGGAGTCTGAACGAGAAAACATCTTTTTCGGTTATAGTTTCAAAGACCCACAAATTTTGGTTTAATTCGAATCAGTTTTGGTTAAAAAAAAGGTGATTAATCTCAAATGCTATGTGGCAGTCTTTGTGAAGTGAGATAATCACCGGTTTTAACCCCCTATAAGCAAATTAAAAATTGTTACAAGAACTGTAATGATAAGAAGTCAACAAAAATGAATAGATAACCTTAAAATTCTCTAGATTGGTGAAGGATGATGTGCCAATTATTTTTCTTTAAGTGTCTTCGTACTTATCCCACCCAGAAATGAAGAAGGAAAAGTATTCAGATTCCAGAAGATGCATTATAACGCAACAAGTTGATTATTAATTTTTCTTCATCTTTTTTTCGTAAGACACATTACTTCCGCTCCGTATGCTATGAGCTATCTAATAACCCAGGGTTCATGAGTGAACTCCGGTAAACCTGTACAACTTTACCGGAGATGGGGTAAGCAGCTCCAGTTGAAGATAGGGTCAGGGCCGACGAGGAAGGGAGAAATGTTCCCTTAAAAAAGTGCAACTTAAAGAAAATGCCATGAAAAGACATACATAGGTAAAAATAAAAATTCTCCGTGATTGAGATTTTCAAGATGGCGCCCGATAGTCACGTCGCAGTTTTACCGTTGAAACTAAATAAGCTAAAAAAACAGGAACTAAAAGAACTAATTGACATAATAGTGAATTTTAAGTAACCACTGTCCGGTTCTAATCCTCAGTTATCAGATTACGTTAATAAATTAACACAAACTGTTCAAAAACATATTAAAGCATTCAATATCGAACATAACCTAGACGTTATTGTGTGCAATTAGTGTATAAAGCCTAACAAGAATAACCACAGGTATCCGTCTTAGCTTATAACTTTTTATCTTGTAGCGTTTTATATTTTAGATTTTTGTAATACATCGCTGGTTGTTTTTACCAAGAAAAAGGATCGATAATATAGGAAGTTTTTTTTTAATATTTCGACGAAGTTAAATGTATGTTGTAAATATTTCAAGTTTTTTGACGAGATTTTTAAATGCGTAATAACGCTGGAAATATTTTTTTATCTCTGTTACAAAGTCAGGTAGAACTCCGGTTTAAAAACTACGTGCTATTTTGTTAATTTGTATTATGTTATATCTATTTCGACAAGTTTTTTGTCGCATAAACGGATTATATTACATGATGCCCCCTAATATAAAAAAGAGTTTTTATTTGTCTTTCGTCGTTAAAAACGCAATAAGCTGGAATATTTAAAAGTTGTTTTTGTCGTTTAGAAAGAGGGTCAAGAAGAATATTGTTTGTTTAGGTTTTGTAAACACAAGGGGGAGAGTCATTTTGTGGCGTCGAATTTGTAAAATGTAACGCAAATAAGAAGTCCAAGAACAGATTTGAAACTGGGCAGACGTTTTACAATGTGAGTTGAAGAATAGATTTGAAACGGTGCAGACGTTATACAATGAAGAGAAGTCCAAGAAAAGATTTGAAGCTGGGTGGACGTTTTGTGATGGGAGTCGACGAATAGGTTTCAAGGTAAAGCTATTGGGAATAACCAATCTTTTTTTAATACAATGTATTTTTTTACTTGCTACAAACAATATTTGTATCTCTTATGTAGTTAAATAAATACTCGCCTCTACGTCTTTGATTTGAATTTATATTATAATTGAAATATCTACTTTAACTGCCTTTATATAACTTACTTCACAATTTTACATAAGTATCGTTGTTGGCTTTATTGATTCACCTTATATCATAATAAAATAATTAACGAGATCTTTTAGTAACTTACCTTTTCATTTTTAACGAAGCCTAACTTATAAAGTTTATCGTACAGCAACAAATCTTTTTGAGCTCTTACAGTGGATATAATAATAATTCTTTTTTCCCGCCCCTGGAAAGTTTCAGTCGTTCCGACATCGACACCTTCGATTTCATGTTGTTCAAGGAGGTATTTCAGTTTGTGAACCTAAAATACGTTAAAAAATCATTACTGTCATTGAACTGTCATTGTCCCGTAATTTCATAGAATTATATTTTTACTTTATTACCTGGAAATATCTCAACTAGTTGGCCGGTGTTAAAATACCAAAATTCCCGCTTGATTTTAACAGTGACATATGTCATATCAGATTGTGTAGTATTTATAAAGTCAGTTGAAACATTTCTCTCCGACTTTCAAACGTATTTGAACAATCTTCATACTTCGTAGGAAATGATGGAAGAAAGAGGGAATGAAAGATACATCCCATCAAATAAATATTGGACATTGATAAGCTATTCAAAATCACCAATATTTAACACGCTACTTGTGAGGTTCCCTTCTAGCCGGTGGCGAAGGGTACAGATAAGAAACGCTTTCGATTCATGCCAGTGCTGTACAGCTAAAATGTTTATTATTTTACGAAGTATAATTAAATCATTATACTGTCAATATGGCCTATTGGGACCGTGCAAGTTCGGAACAGCGACACCTGGTGTCGTAAATCAGCAAAATTTACTGCGCTTTCATATTAGATCGAGATTACCGGATAACTGTCCAGGACGTAGGCTCAAAAAAGAATAAGAAGAAAAAGTAAGATTGAGGTTATGTCGGTATGTTATTAAAAGGTAAACGTTGTATGTAGTGTAAATACAATTATTATTAAATTACAGCATTACTGTTAATATGGATGCAATAATAAAAACTGGATTTGAGAAAGTAAATCACCAAATAACTTTTCAACCAAGCACTGAGTCAAATGGAAAAGCTTTAGTAGTGGCAAATGTCAAAAAAGAATGAAAGAATTATGTGGAAGGATTAAGAAAAATAAATTACCATAAATAATGCTAATGCATAAATGCATAAATTAGCAGGTTAAGCCCATGATATCATCATATTGGTTTGAACAATTCATTCTTTCCCTGTAAACTTTCGGACAGCGAATATATCTTAATGCATCTTCAGAAAAACTTGAACTTAATGCAATTTTGTAAACGTCAAAAAAATAAAATTTAAACATTAAACTTGATTTTTGTATTAAAATGAACTCTAAGTGAGTATTATAAAACTAAAATTTACACTTAAAAGTGAACTTTTATTTATTATTTATTTCAAACTGACTTTAAAATCGGGCGCAAAAATAATGGATAATTGAGGTTATGTTACTTATGCTTTTTTATGATATCAATCCACTTTTCTCTTTGTAGTAATTTGTGCTTCGAAGTTGGAAATGAATAAAACTTAAATTGACAATTTTTTGTTGCATTTTTACAATTTATAACACAGCATTTCCTAAATCGATTTTCTTCAGTGACAGAAGGTGTAAATAAACAAAGGAATATGAAATATGACAATCGACAATATGAATTTATGAAATCTATGAAATTTGCAGTAAAAAATGCAAGATTTCTCCGCTACTCGCGCACGATCGTTTCTCGTATCACATCCAAGTACTTGCACGTCGCCAATTGTCATTTAATTATAAATTATTTTTGTTGCTTAATTTGACATGTTAAAAAATTTTTTATACACTTATGTACCTTACAACAGCTTTAAGTAAATTAAAATTGTCCTTTTCCTGTTCTACATTAATCTGTATTTGATTATAAAAATAAATGATGCGCCCATGTCTGGTAATATGATATTATTCTTTTAATGTTTGTCGGCAACCAATTTTTTGGGTGTTTCAACTGACTTTATAAATACTATAACTATAGAAGTCGGAAGAGTTCACTACTTGATGATGTTCGTTATTGAATTGAAATGGCCGTTGACTATCAAGATTCTTATTATTAAAAGTATTCAGTAAATAGTGAAATTTTGTTTGTTTTACTGCTTAGTTTGTTATTTTTACCTAATACCTTTCGTTTATTGTTTTGCGGTACCCCAAGAGAGTGGGGCTCAGGGAAAGTTTTAAAATTCTTATTAAATTTATTATTTTGTGCCTAACTGAAACGTTTATCATGCCGAAAGTGAATTGTGTTTCTATGTGGATTTAACCTTACAAATAATTATATTTGGAGGGTAATAAAGTTTACTACACAGCTTGCGGAAAATCGAAAGTATATGGTCAAGTTTGCTCTAAATTCAAGACATTTGGCATGTTATTTAAATAAAATCGCATTACCACAAATTTTAAAACAAATTGTGTTCCAATAATAAAAAAACAGGAAAGTTTCGTTATAAGTTTACATTTTGAACCTATTCTCTGTTGGTGTCTATCCATTGTTGGATATAGGTCTCCCCCAGTTCCCTCCATCTTTTCCTATCTTGAGCTGTTCTCTGCCATGTGGGACCTCCTTGTTTCCTGATGTCATCTTTCCACCTCATCTGTGGTCTGCATCTTGATCTCTTTGCATTGTATGGACGCCACTTTCCGATGGCATTGTTCCATCGTCCGTCTTGGAGACTTTCATTGTGTCCAGCCCATTTCCATTTCAGTTTTGCTGCTTGTTGTATCGCGTCTACTGTCTTTGTTCTGGTCCTGATCCAGTGGTTACGTTTTCTATCTTTAAGTGATATACCCAACATTTGTCTCTCCATCGCTCTTTGTGCCTTCCTTATCCTATCCAAATTGGCCTGTGTAAATGTCCATGTCCGTGCTCCGTAGGTGAGCACCGGTATTATACAGGAGTTGTATACCTTGCTTCGTAAGTATAGAGGGATTATTTGATTTTTTAGAACGTAAGAAAGTTTGCCGAACGCTGCCCATCCCAGTCTTACTCGTCTCGATATTTCGGCTGTTTGATTTTCTCTGTTAGCTCTGATTGCTTGTCCTAGATAGATATACTCATTTACCTGTTCTATTTTATCTGTTTGTATTTTTATTGCATCTTGGTCTTCCGTGTTTCTCATTACTTTTGTTTTGTTGAAGTTAATTTTTAGACCTTTTTGCAGTGATTTTTCATGAAGTTCATTCAACATTAATTCCAGTTCTAGTCGTTCCGAGGAGATCAGGAGTATATCATCCGCATATAAGTTTACATACTATGTGCTGAATGATATGTTTTCCGGCATAAAACTCAATTTTGAAAAATAAATGTTTTTAATGTGAGTATAAAAATTGCAAATATTTTATAAGAAATATCTTACCTGTCTAACATATGGCGTAACAACACCAATATCGGAAGGCTTAACTTTATCTTCCTCATCTACAAATTCTAAAGCATGCAAAGCTTTAATATACTTTACTATCATTTGTAATTCCTTCTCGTTGTAATAACTAAAAACATATTTAAACATCATATACCATAATTAAGTATTACCAGAGAATAATAAACCATCAGAATGGCCACTCTGCTTGAAAAAATAAGTACGCGCATCTCGTTTGCGCAGACGGAATCAGCCATGTTTTGTGTGCATAGACAAATAACCCAATTTAATTTATTTACGGCAACTACAGACATAATATGCAATAATTTATTCGTACTTTTAGTTGAAGAATAGATTAAATTATTTCAAATGTACTAAATTATTAATCTCTAAAAATTTAAATGACAGTTCTGCAGTAGTTTGTCACAAGTTTCTCAATTCGAGTCTATGTTTCCGTCTAAAATATGGCGTTCGCATGCTGACAAACTTCAAAGGCGGCATCTGAGAGTGGGCATTTTGACTGTTATTTATTCTATTAAAAAACGGTAGGTTTTTGCTAGTACGTATGTATGAATAAACAGATTAAGACATTGTTTTATTGACCATACAACACAATGGCAATCGCTGTGACATGTTACATGTTTCCACCTCTATATTCATTTTACAGTAGGTACGAATTGTCGTAATTGTTACATTGACATTAAAAATGTTAAACAAAGTTCTGAAGAAATAAACAAATAATTAAATGTCTTGTAACATGATACTTTCAGGGTCATTCGATACGCGAAATAATTGATTTATTTATTGTTGCCTTCGAAAATAGACCCCCACCACGTGTTACAACAGTTAAAAAAACCATTAAACATTTTCAAACTTCGGGATGTGTAAACAGTTGTAAAACGTGTCATGAAGGTAATGAACCTCGTGTTAGACATGTCGATAAGGAGCACCAAAACAGAGATATTGATAATTGTGGTTTTGTGGAAACTAGTGAACTCTGCAAATAGTGTACAAATTGCTAGTGAAGTTAACGTGAATGCTCGAACTGTCCAGCGAGTTCTCAAAAGAAATGGGTATCACTGTTTTCAGATACAACCAACACAAGAACTGTTTCCGAAAGATAACTTTAGGCGGATGAAGTTTTGTAAATTTATGTTACATACACAGAATGAAAATGTACACTTTTTAAGAAATATTTTATTTTCTGACGAATCTTCATTTTCATTACATAAAAAAACACAATCCATCCGTTGCAAGGTATTATTCTCGAAAAAATAAGCACCTCAGTGTTGCAGTGCGAACGCAACATCCGCAAAAGTTAAATGTTTGGACGGGGATGTTAGGCGACCATATTGTCGGTCCATTTTGTATCGATGGAAACCTAAACGGGCCCAAATATTTACAACTTTTGTAGAATGAGACCATTCCGTCAGTTCAACGCCTTACCGTTAAGTTTCAGGAGGTTTATTTCCAACAGGATGGGTGTTCGGCTCATAACTCTAGAGCAACTATTGACTTCCTCAATCAAACGTTTCCTGATCGATTGATAAGTACACGTGGTACAATTAAATGGCCCGCTAGATGGCCCGCTAGTTTGAAAGGACCACAAACCTAGTCGAATTACATGCAAAAATACTTCATTTCTCTGCAAGCATTACACCAGACCTACTGTAAAATATGAGGAGAAATCTGTATGACAGATTTGGCTTCTGTTTAGCACAAGGAGGTGGAATATTTGAGCACTTAATTCATTAATCTGCTTTCCTAATTTTTATTTTTTGTTATGGTACATTTTACGAAGTTTGTAGGTTCTTAATTAGGTAGTATTTTTTATGATCAAATTTGGAAGAACTTTATTGTTTTTTTTTTATTTAAAAGTACAAATGATTCTCATTCTGATTTTTTTACTTCTTTCTTGTCTTATTGTTGTAAGCTTTGTCCATAAAATTTGTACAATTTTCAGTGACAATAAAGCATATTACTTATTTACTTACTTATTTATTTGTATTGCTATGAAGGCTAAAAAATTAGTTTTAGAGCATTATAATAAATATACTCTAGAGATGGGATTGCAATAAATCTTAATTCCTATGTCAACAAAACAATGTCGTTATCTGTATATATACAGTGGTGAGTGCGATATCACCCGGCTTTTTAACGTAAGAGATAGAAAACACAGTTACCTTGTGAAATAAAAGGAGATGAAACTCGTAGAGGTGGGAAATAATCGATAGAAACCTATAATTTACATTACATTGCATTACCACCATCGACAGTCTCACACCTTTAGACGTTAGACGTGGCTATTTGACTTCAGTCATAATAATACGGATACCCTCAAAAAGATTTTATTTTAATAATTTCTGATGTTAGAATAAATACTTGAATAAATTAAGATATGTTATAGTAAAAAACGTTCATTAGTAGCGATTTTAAATTATAAATCTTTAAATTTACTTAATAGTAAAAATAACTCAACTGAAATATTTGAATAAAATAAAGGTAGGTATGTTTTGTCTGGAAACACTTAATGTATGTGAAATTGGTGTAGTGGTTAGGGACGTTGTCTATTGACGAGAAAATTGGGGTTCAATTCCACACCAAGGATAAAATTTTTGTTTTATCAATAAAAAAATAATAAAAAATATGATACATATTAGGTAACAAATTTTCGAAAAACTCATTATTTACAATTTATTTTTATTCCAATGTTATAAAACGGAAATACAAAATGATTCAAATTCAATTCATACAGTCTTCAGTTGTGAATGCAAAATAATCCGGTGAAGACTGTTTATATCAAATCCATCACTAAATTCTTAATGTTAATATCAATTCCTCTGTACAGATAATGATTTTCAAAACAATTGACAACATTGGAATGGATGCGCGCGAAGCAAAGCCTTTAAGCCATCAAATAATAACATATCGAGAAGTGTTTTTGCACGGTAAACAGAAACTTTTTATTGAAAAAACAATTCGTGAAAATGGTTTTAACGGTCGAGGAAAAAGTGCAAATTGTTGTCTGGCATGTGAATGGATTCTCAGACAAAATAATTAGACAACAATTTGTAAATATGTTTCCAAATAGGCCGGCTCCATCACGATCAACAATTCAATCTATTATACGTAATTTTTTTACTTACGGATCCGTGTTCGCTCCAAGAGGAGTTCGTAGGCGAAGGGAGGTAAATCCAGATTTGGAACTAAGAGACACTTTGATTTGTGCAAGTATTGAGCAAAATCCTACCCAATCAACATCTCGTCTCGGAGAACAATATGGAATTTCAAGATTTAGAGTTGGTAAAATTTTGAAAAAGGCATGGATACCGACCCTATAAACTTCATAAATCCAACGAACAATTCCCTGGGGATCAATATAGACGTTTAGAATTTTGTCAAACTGCAATGGAAATGTCACATCAAGATGAACATTTTTTAGAGAACGTCTTGTTCACCGATGAATGTACGTTTTCATTGCATGGCCGTCACAATTCAATGAATGCTCGGTATTGATCCCGAGGAAATCCTCGTCAGATTTATGTTGCTCGTACCCAGCGTCCTCAAAAAGTAAATGTTTGGGGAGGCATAATAGGGAATCATGTCATTGGTCCATTTTTTATAGACAGTATGTTGACTGGGCGGAAATACTTGGAACTTCTGCAAAATCAAATTGTCCCAGCCCTTCGTAATTTACCAATTCCTTTCGATTCCATATGGTTTCAACACGATGGTTGTCCTGCACATAATTCTCGCATCGTCAGTGAATATCTCAGTGCGACTTTTCCTAATCGATTGATTAGTGGACACGGAGATATTTTTTGGCCTGCAAGATCACCTGATCTTGCACCTTGTGATTTTTTTATGTGGGGATATACCAAGTCCAAACTATATGGAATTGAAGACGATAGGCCTAATTCTCTTCAAGAATTAAGAGAAAAGATCTTTGATTCAATGAGAGGTATTAGTCCAGAAACATTAACTAATGTTAGACGAAACTTTTATAATAGATTGGGTTATTGTTCTGCTGCTAATGGAGGCTTATTTGAACATTTTTTGTAAATACATTTCATTAGAATAAAATACGTTTATTTAAAATATTTTTATAGAATTTCTGCTTATTTAAACATTTTTTGTAAGTACATTTATTTAGAACGTTCTTTTATGTTTGAAGAATTTTTACTTTATTTTAGAAAGTACATTGTTTTTTCAATAAGATTTTTATGTTTTACTATAAACACTTCTAATAAAGACTGAAATAAATGTTTTATGATTTAAAGCAAAACGATATAATATCTGCATAATTTCAAATTTTTAAAAAAGTAAAAACTTTTTGTAGGATTTGAACCCTAACCGCCTACATGAGTACATCGTGCCTTCAGCCCTGATCTATCAGACTTTTATAATTCTTTAGTGACAGTTTGGGTTATTATTCTACTGCTAATGAAGGTTTATTTGAACATATTGTAAATACGTTTATTTACAATATTTTTTTATTTTTGTAAAATTTTTACTTATTTAAACATTCTTTTAATTTTGAAGAATTTTACTTTAGTTTCGAAAGTACGACGACACTATTTTTTCAATAAGATATTTATGTTTAACTTTAAACACTTCAAATACTAGTAACGACTGACATAAATGTTTAGTGATTCAAAGCAAAACGATCTCTGCAAAATTTCAAATTATTAAAAAAAGAAAACCTCATGTAGGTTTTGAACTCTAATCATCTGCGTCGCAGAGTCGAATTCTTACCACTAATCCACGAAGGATTGCTAATTATTCTGTAACAAGAGTGTATGAAACTCCTCAAATCATAGTAGAAATTATTCTTGGTTAATAATTTAAAACTTTAGAATAAATAATCACTATTAATTAAATTATTTTATTCACATTTTTGCTTTATTGTGGTCAATCAGTTTTTACTTTATCTAAATTAAAAAATGGAAATACGTCACACATACGACGTCAAACTGTCAAACATAATAATTATGACCGAGGTGATTTAGATCGAAGGTAACGTCTAAAGGTGTGAGACTATCGATAGTCGTAATGTAATGTAATGTAAATTATAGGTTTCTATCGATTATTTCCCACCTCTACGAGTTTCATCTCCTTTTATTTCACAAGGTAACTGTGTTTTCTATCTTTTACGTTAAAATGCCGGGTGATATCGCACTCACCACTGTATATATAAAATTTATATTGAATTGCATTGAAATTAAATTGAATGAAAATTTACCTCGGTGACTTTCCTTGTCTCTGTTCTTTGGATAACAAACTACAAAATTCAACTGGTTGGCCTTTCAATTTTTGCAGCTGCTGCTTCTTCTTCTTACCCTTATTGTAAATTTCTTGCACTTTTTGGAAAACGCAAGTCGTTGATAAGGGATCTAATTCTGATCTCTGTGAACGAGCCTAAAAAGATATAAAATTTATTGTAATTTATTGGTACTATAAAAATACCATAGAGATCCAGAAGATCAAAAATGAAGAAGGAACCAGAGATTGTGTTTACGATCAAACGCATAAAATTGCAATATCTGGAACACGTTATGAGAAATCAGCACCGTTACTCCCTGCTACAGTCTATATTGCAAGGTAAAGTCAAAGGTAAGCGAGGACCCGGTAGAAGAAGAATATCATGGCTGCGGAATTTAAGAACATGGTTTAAGAAAACCTCAACGGAGCTGTTTCGAGCCGCAGCGAGCAAGGTTATGATTGCCAATATGATTTCCAACATCCGAAACGGATAGGAACCAGAAGAAGAAGAGATCCAGATTTTTCTAATTTATCACCATGTATAAACTCCTATTTAAATACTTTTCTGGTTCTGGTCTGATTTTGATGTCTTTTAATATATGCTTGACCCCCTCTAAGCTCTTCTTGTCTATACTTTCTTACAGCTCTCATCCAAAAATTTAATGCTACAGTCTTCAACCACCTTTTACATTTGTCTTTTAGTAGTTATATCTCACTCGGTGTGTGAAGGGATAGTAAAGTATCACTACTTGGGGGGAGATTGGGTCACCAACCCCAGAGGAAGGTGGGGTCAGGGCTGCCGAAGAAGGAAACCTTGGTTCTCCGATGAATAGGAGGTTCAGCGAAGGGCTAAAAACCCTTCCCTTTAAAACTCAATTGTTGCGAAAACAATGGCTAATTAAACAAACGGACGGATCTCACAACGACGAACTCAGTAAAGAAAAATACACATGATTATTGATTTAATAATAAAACTATAATTTTTACTCCACGTCTTCAACATTTTATTGTATTACCATCGTCAATCGAGAAGAATCGGACAAAGAGGCATTAGAAAACAATTCGATACTGATATTTAAATCAAATCTGTCCACTAAACTTAAATTAAATTATTTTTGGGTAACTGAACTAAGGCACCTGTTTAAAAAATGTTAAAGTGACATAATCATTCAAATGACAGAAAGGCTCCATTTTGTGTCACTCAGGCAGCGCCATTTCAAAATAGTGACCGTTCAGTATTTAATGCTAACTGTATAGGAAAAAAGTTTGGACTACTTCTAATAATTTATAAAAATACTCGAAAATGTGAATTTATTTTTCCAATTTGGCATATTCTAATAAAATTCATTTGTTTGTTTTATGACATCTGTCAACAATCTGCCACCATTGACATGTTTTCTTAATGACAATATACAGCAACTGATACAGAATTTGAAAGGTCTGGTGTATCTCAGTAGTATTCGAGATTTTTGTCTTCTAATAAGTTATGATAAGCTCTTTTGAATGACTATTAAAACATCTTAATTACTAGTAAGTCTCAAATAACTTTTACCTCTAATTGATTTCCATAAAATAATTCGTTAGGCAAACGTAAAATAGTTCGGTGATTTCTGAAATTCTGGATTAACATTGTTATACAATTCTGGTTATTTTGGCTATACAAATCTGTTTGCATAATTCTCTCAAGTAGGGATATACCTAAAAAAATATAAAATTATCAAACTGTACATCATTACACATTATTTCTATATTCAAAGTTTACACATATTTATACCTAAAGCATTTTTCATATAAAAAAGCTTGCACGTCATTCAAGATGTACGTCGTCAGAACCCAACAGCGTTGCCAAAACATCAGAATAGTTAGTAAGTGAGGAATTTTTAAAATGTCAAATATTTGTCAAACTATTATATTAACAGTAACATTAACTTAACAATAGTTAAGAAAACATTTTAATACAAAATTATATATTCTAAATTTTAAACTTACTTTTTTTAGGGCTTTATAGTAAAACCGTCCCGCCATTATTTCTTGTTCAAAATAATATATCTTATATGAACGCTTATCAGCTTTCTACAGACTATTTACCTATTTGTTTTGGCATATCACAATCACAATACACAACAATAATTAGTTTTTAAAGCTATTAATATTAATCCAAATCTAATATGTACTAAATACAATTTATTATCAAATATCAAATTGTGTAAGAAATCAAAACATAAACAAATTTTTTACTCTAAAAAAGCGGCAACACTTTATACACTTTTGCCACACGCTCAACTGTCAATAAAATTTTTAAGTATTTCCGTATTAGTTGCGTACAATTGTCTAATATATTAAATTAATATTATTATTTTGTTGAATACTAGACTTAAAAAGTTATTTCATAAAATTTATATTATTAATAACAACAAATGTTTTTGGTTATTTAATCAATACAATTCTAAAATTTCCAATATAATGATGATTACATTTTTCTAATTATTATACCACGTTGACGCCTATGAAAGATCGAGCAGTTTCGTATGGGTTTCGTATTATTAGCTGTGTTAGGAAAATTTTCACTCTAAGGTTGATGTTCTGGAAATTTTAAATACAAGTGACGTCACTTTGTATAAATCGTGACGTGCAAGTGTTTTACTTTGAAAAATGGTATAAAACTATTACTAAATAAAAAATAAGACATTGCAAACCTAAGCCATATCGGACGGCAGCGTCAGAAGTTAATGATGGTCCAAGCTGCTTGGGGTCTCCGGCCAATACTATCTGCTGTCCATGTTTAACCATACCTAAAGCTATGCAAACTTCAGGTTCACACGCTTGTGCAGCTTCATCAATGAAAACCATGTCTGGTTTGTAGTAACCGGCGAGTCTACCGACAAGAATTAAAGTCGTTACGACTATTCTATAAGTATTCAAGGATGCCGTATCAATTTTTTTGTATTGCCATGATCCCTCATACTCTTCGTAGTTGGAGTATGGTAAAACCGGTTTATGGACATTTGACCTAAAACATAAAAATTTTCCAGTGAAAAAGTTTTTTTTTATTTAGGTACACAAAGCTGCATCAACCATGAAAGATTATTAGAGGATGTAAAAAGACTGAAATTCATTAAAACAGGAATCTTATATACTAAAACGCTAAGCCCTTTTCTTGTCCACCACTTTACTCAAAAACCATATGTAGGTCTTACTCAAAAGTTCTTTTATTATTTCAAAGGGAACTAACGTTAGAGTAAAAGTCCGTGATCCAAACGATACGTCTTTATTACATAACAATAAACTGTACGGATGGTATTTACAGGTACACACAAAATTACAAGATTACGGATAATTGTCTGCGAATTAAAAGATCGGACAACCCCTTCGTTTAATTATTTTCGTCGTTCGTCATTCCTCTGCCGGGCGTTGCACAATAATTAACCTTCACAGCTCGAGTGCCAAATATATAATCCCTTTTAGGTCAGGCATGTGTGATTTTGTCTATATTTTTCTGTCCCCTTTCCCCGCGATGGCGACCTATTTGGGGCGCCTTAAGAATATGGTTTTAGTAGTATCTCGCAGTGGCGTAACTAACAAATAAAACTATGCTAAATACTTAATATAAGAAATATTTCCTACACATATGTAACGATGAGTCCAAGCCATCACCGTTAAACCAGCGTGCGCGCGAACCAACCCATGAAGTAGGAGTGTATCGACAGTAGAAAGGGCAAAACTTTGCTATATAAACCGCATTATTTCCTCATAGAGGCAGAATCGTCAGGTGTTGACTGAAGGTTCTCTTCTCCCCTACCCCGGCTTGTGGACGTGTTGAGTTCACAAGTTGTTCCATACCGCCGTTATCCGGAGAGCGTGTTGAGCTCTCCATTACCCGTACTCCGAAGCAGTCGTGTTGAGACTGTCGAGGAGTGTCCTATTAACCCGAATCACTTGAGGGACGTGTTGAGTTTCTTTCTTTCCTTTGTACCTATCGTCCGCTGTTATTAAATCGACACATCGTTCACGTAAAATTCCGAAAACACACTTGATTGCCGATAACACTAATTTCATACGACAAGGTCAAACTTAATTTGAATAAATAGGCCAGGCACTGAGAAGACTAAACTAAATTGTAAATATGTACATAAGATTTTTGTCAATTTAATTTAAGGAAGACAATAAAGTTTTATTTTTATTTTGAACTCTGTCTCTGACTGTCCAAAAGCTACCCGGATAGTGACTCCTACGAGAGGACGTCACAGATGGCGCCCGAGCAGAAAAATTCGTTTTAAACAATAATACCGACCGAATTCCGAATTTTATGAGACAGTACTGCATTTCAAACTTTATTCAAATACAGGGTGATTCACAGTTCAAAAATGACAGACGCTCCGGAAACGTCGAAGGTTAGTTGGGTGTACCTATTAAAGAAAGACGAACTTATAGCCGAATTAACAAACAGAGAACAGTCGACGGAAGGGAATTTCAGCGAGCTAAGAGCGAGATTAGTTGCGATCATCAAGGCACCAACTCAAAAAGGCCAAAACCCAGAGGAAATAGAAGAAAACCAGATGGAAGACAGACAAAGAAAGATGGAAATAGTACGCAAATGGGGGTTACACTTTGACGGTTCAAGAGACCCAATAGAATTCATAGAACGGTTGAAAGAACTCCAGACAGCTTACGGCCTACAAGACACCCACGTTTTACAAGCTCTACCAGAAACATTAAACGGGAAAGCATTACTATGGTACAGAAACAATAATAAATATTGGAACGAATTAAAAGACTTCGAACAAGATTTCCGCAATTTCTTCGTTTCCTCCGTTCTCACGCAATCTCTGGAAGCTCAAATCCGGAACCGACTCCAACGAAACAACGAAGGTGTAAAAGACTACATCATTGATATTCAAACAATGATCAGAAGACATGGTGAATTCAATCACCAAGAAGAACTAAACAGGATATACACCAATATGAACCCGAAATACAAGTTGTATATAAAGAGGCAAGACGTATCGTCAACACAGGACATCATCAGACTAGCGGAAGAATATGATATGGTCCAAAAAGAAATATATAACAGAAACAATACCGAAAAAAAACAATTACAGGAATTGTTACTAACCGAATTGGAGAAATTTAAACACATTAAAGGAACAACACATCTAACCGAACATACAATAAAACTTAAACATAATACACCGATCAAACAAAGATACAGGCCCCGAAACCCGGCAATGCAGAAGATCATAAACGATGAGATAGATAAGATGCTAGAAGAGAACGTGATAGAAAAATCTAATAGCCCGTACAGTTCCCCCATCGTTCTAGTAAAAAAGAAGGATAACAACGGATACAGATTTTGCATCGATTTTAGGAAAATCAACGACATCTCAGAAAAAGATGCCTACCCATTACCGTACATCAATCCTATCCTAGAAAAGTTAAAATCTGCAAAATATTTTACCACGTTGGATCTAAAAAATGGATATTGGCAAGTACCACTTTCCGAAGCAAGCAAACCCTTAACCGCTTTCATAGCACCAGGAAAAGGACTATTCCAGTTCAAAGTACTTCCATTCGGATTACACGCCGCCTCCGCTACTTTTCAACGATTACTAGATACAATAATCGGCCCAGAAATGGAACCACATGCATTCGCCTATTTAGACGACATAATAGTACTGGGGAAAACGTTCGAGGAACATATGGAAAACTTAAAAGAAGTACTTCACAGACTACAGCAGGCCAAACTACGAATTAATATAGACAAATGTAAATTCTGCAAAGAAGAGATAAATCATTTAGGCCATGTAGTAAACAAAACGGGAATAAAAGTGGACGAAAACAAGACAAAAGCTATAGTCGAATATCCCGCGCCAAAAACCGTTAAACAACTACGCCGATTTTTGGGCATCATCTCATGGTATAGGAGATTTATAAAAGATTTTTCACGAACTACAGCGCCTTTAACAAAGCTACTAAAGAAAAAACAACATTGGACTTGGGACAGAGACCAAGAGGAAGCATTCAACAAAATAAAATTACTACTGACACAAGCTCCAATACTGATCTGCCCGGACTTCCAGAAAAGATTTTTTTTACAATCGGACGCTTCGAACCACGGTTTAGGAGTAGCTTTAGTACAAACAAACGACGAAGGACAGGAACAAGTCATCGCTTACGCAAGTCGAAACCTAACAAAAGCCGAAAAAAATTACAGCGTGACAGAAAAAGAACTACTAGCGATCATCTTCGGTGTAGAAAAGATGAAACCCTACATCGAAGGATACCCATTTTCAATTATCACAGATCATCAAAGTCTACGATACTTACAAACAATGGAAAACCCTACAGGTAGAATAGCTAGATGGGCAATGCTGCTGCAACAATTTGACTTCGATGTCATTTACAGAAAGGGCTCCCAGAACGTCCTGGCCGACGCGCTCTCTAGAGAACCAGTAGATCTGGTTTGCATAATAAACGTAGAAGATGTAGAACCCGACGAATGGTACAATAAAGCTTTAAATAAAATCCAGACAAATCCGCAACTATTTCCAGACTACTCTATCAAAGATGGACTTCTCTATCGACACTTCTGGGACAAATACGATTTAAAAGAAACAGAGGTATCCAACCCCTGGAAACTATGCATCCCAAACCACAAGAGACAACAACTCCTGGCAGAAAACCACGAGCAACCGACCGCAGGACATCTAGGAATAGCTAAAACAATAACCCGCCTAGCTAGAAAATACTACTGGCCAGGGATGTTTAAAGACGCCGCAAAGTTCGTCAGGAACTGCAAGAACTGTCAGCAATTTAAGCCGCAACAAAGCTTAACTCCAGGCCGCATGCAATCTACACAAATTCCCCCACATCCATGGCACACCGTTTCAACTGACATCATAGGACCCCTTCCAACATCCAGCAAAGGAAACAAATATATAATGACATTCCAGGACACTTTTTCAAAATGGGTCGAAGCCATACCGATCAGAACAGCAACGGCAAAATCAGTCTGTCAGAACTTAAAAGATAAAATCATTATGAGATTCGGATCACCCAAAGAGCTAATATCAGACAACGCAAGAACATACGATAACAGGGAAGTACGAAAGTTGCTAGACGAATTCCAGATTTCTAAAAGAAACATTCCGCCATATTCACCCCAGAATAATCCAGTAGAAAGAACAAACAGAGTAATCAAAACAATGATAGCTCAGTTCTGCGATAATAACCATAAGAAATGGGACACGAGCCTTCCAGAACTACTATTCGCATATAATACAGCTAAACACGATTCAACGGGTTTCTCCCCAGCCTTCCTGAACTTTGGACACGAACTAGAAATTCCAAGTAAAGTCGTAAAAACCCCAAACGACACACAACATACCGATCAAAACATAAAATGGCATAAACTACGGGAAACATTCGAACTAGTACGTACAAACCTGGCAAAAGCTTTCACAACTCAAAGCCATTACTACAACTTACGACGAAGAGAGTGGAAACCCACAATAAACGACAAAGTCATGAAAAGGGAATACCAACTCTCAAATGCCGCCAAAAATTTTAACGCCAAATTAGCACCGAAATTTTCAGGCCCATATACTATAACAAAAGTGTGTTCTAATGTAATATTCAAATTAAAACACGACGATAAAAACCGTACAATAACAGCTCATATCAAAGACCTAAAACCCGCATTTACCGATTTCCCTACTCCTTAATCAGTCCAAGCACTTACAGTCAACACCAAGTAGTGACAGTATATTTTAATACACTTTACCAGTGACCTTCAAATATAATGTCAGACACGTTAGAAATATATTACAGTGACATAGAAATGGACGGCACAGTTACGCCGCCACCATACACCGTTCCAGAGTTAATATCACCATTGGGAAACACACCAAAACCTAACACCCCGGGCAAAGGCTGCGAGCCCCTGATAAAGGCTATTGCCAAATTTAAAAACCTTTTCGATGAACCAGCCATGGGCATCACAAAAATTCAGAAAGTCCAGTCAATTCCAGTGTCAATCCCGCTGCTCTCACTAATTCCGCCGCAGCATAAAGGAAAAAAAATACAGACTGAGACTCCCGAACCAGGTGCTGAGAATAAAAACCAATAATTGAAGCCCCACGAAGGAAGACGTTTTTTTTAAGAGAGAGGAAGACGATTTTTTTTTAAGAAGACGATATTTATTTTTTTTAGGGAGGACATTTTTTATTTCGATGTATTGTAAATTGTTTTTTAGGGTAACCAAGTACCTGGCAAGGAATAAAAATAAAAAAAATTTTGTTCCAAAAAATTTTTTTTTCCCAGGAAGAGGGGGTGTAACGATGAGTCCAAGCCATCACCGTTAAACCAGCGTGCGCGCGAACCAACCCATGAAGTAGGAGTGTATCGACAGTAGAAAGGGCAAAACTTTGCTATATAAACCGCATTATTTCCTCATAGAGGCAGAATCGTCAGGTGTTGACTGAAGGTTCTCTTCTCCCCTACCCCGGCTTGTGGACGTGTTGAGTTCACAAGTTGTTCCATACCGCCGTTATCCGGAGAGCGTGTTGAGCTCTCCATTACCCGTACTCCGAAGCAGTCGTGTTGAGACTGTCGAGGAGTGTCCTATTAACCCGAATCACTTGAGGGACGTGTTGAGTTTCTTTCTTTCAGAGGACGTCACACATATTAGATAAATAAAATATTTTTTCGGAATATTATTAGTATTACGTATGAGATTATCAAGATATACTTTTGGTACAAAAATTCAGAATTTGGTACAAGTTAAAATTTACTTTAAGTTTTAGACCCCACAATGTATATATGGATCGAAAGGTCTAGTCGAGACGAATCTAAATATGTACTTCCGGTTGCGATACGACACCGGAAGTGACCCGAAATGCGCATAAAACGTCAAGATAGAGCAAATCTGACACCGGATTCGTGATCAGCATGCAAAATTAACTGCTAAATGATATACATGTCGACATTTGATGAACTAAAAATTGCATTCCGGTTTTGAGGTCGGCTTCCGCTTTCGTTTTTATGGTCCGCTAGTATTCTTTAATTTCCCTATTGAGCAGTCTATAAACTCTCAAAATGATCGTGTTTACTTGACCGAACGCACCTATGAATGTTTGAGCTTACGAACGGCCATCCGAAGTAATTTCATATGTCAAGTAATGGTATGGGCAGCTGTGGACGCTCTCAAATCGTTTGTATTGAATCTGGTGTCAAAGTCAATGCAACTTATTATCGGGAAAATGTTTTAGAAGCTGCTTTAAAGCCATGGGCACGTAAATATTTCGGTTGTAGACCATGGACGTTCCAATAAGACTCGGCAACGTCTAATAAAGCTAATTTGAACCAAGAATGGTTAAAAAACCTAGTTCCACACTTCATTTCATCCACACAATGGCTTTCGAATTCGCCAGACGCAAATCCGATGGACTATTCCATCTGGTCCATTTTGCAGAGCAAGGTGAGGACTAAAAAATATACCAGTTTGGATGCGCTGAAGAAAGCAATTATACGTGAATGGGCCAAAATATCGGAAGATCACATTCGTGCAGTATGAACTCGTTTTTTGATCGTTTGAAGGCCATAGTCAAGACAAAAGGTGGCTCCATCGAGCTAAAATGAGTGGATTTTCAAATTTTGATTGTTTTCACACATTTTTGTCATTTGAATAAAAAAATTATGGTCGTTTGAATAAGTAACAGTTCAATTACGTAACTCTGTAGTGTTTGTATTTTGTTAACGATTTTCGAAGTGGAAATTAAAACGTCAATAAACTTACTTTAACCTGTAATTGTGGCGTATTCCCATTTAAATAGCAATTACTTTAAAATGCCACAAGAAAATAGCTTCAGGACAATACTATTACAAGGGTTAAAGAAGGTCTCATAGAAAATTAATGTACTTACAAGTCAACATTGGATGACATAACTCTAATCAACTCATTCGTTGTGCAATGTTCCAGCAGCTTTTCGGTTATTAAATCACAAGCAGAATTTGAAGGGGCACAGACAAGAATTTTGTGAGTTGTCTTAAATTTAAGCTGTAAAATAGCCTCTACAATCGTGACAGTCTTTCCTGTTCCAGGAGGCCCAAACACTATGTACGGGTATGGAACTGAAGTTGCATTTAAGATATTTCTAACTGCCGTTTTCTGTTCTTGGTTTGTAGCAATAGTTTGATTTAAGAATCTGGAAATAATATACAAAAATAAATATTAATATACGTACTTATATGTATAATACTAACTTCCAACAAATTAAAGTCTTCAGATGTACCATGTGTATTTTTAAACTTTTATAACGTCTGTCGCAAAAGTATTATAACTTAACATAACATAACTTGCTTTGTTTATATTAGTTTCTTTGAATTTGCAAAGTAACGAATTTGTATTGGTTCGCGTTAGACTCAACAAAAATTGTTCGAAAACTATTTAAGTGGCGAGAAAGTCCTCTAGATATTAATGTATGAGCAAAACACAGATCACATATCACATATTGGTTCAATCGGTTTAAAAATGGCTGCACGTCTATTGACAGTGATCTGCGTTCTGGTCCATCTTCCAGCACAACATCCGAAAATATTAAACGTGTAAGACATCCGACTAAAGATCGTTTGACTATGCGAGAACTAGAAAACGATCTTACTTCGAATTCCTTCCAAAATTTCTCACAGCATATAATTAAAAAGAAAGAGGAGATATGTTGGCATCTTTTTGCGTAGAAAAGCAATTAGTAATAACAAACACAATTTTCAAACTTCCAAAACGTCGTCTTTACACCTGGAAATCACCAGCAGATACACCTGAACGAGTTGTTCGTAACCAAATTGACTTCATATGTATAAATAAGAGATACAGAAATTCAGTATTAGCAGTAAAAACATATCCAGGCGCAGATGTACCAACAGATCACAATATTTTAGTAGGGAAAATAAGACTGAGATTAAAAAGAGTTGCAAGGACGAATAAGCAAACAGTTATGGATAGAGAAAATATGCTAAATGATACTGTAAAACAAAAAATAACTAGTATATTAGAACAAAAAATGAAGATCAAGCAAGGAATTGATGAATTACTGAAAGTAGTGAGGAAAACTGGACGAGAAGACATCTTGAAGAAACAAAATTGAGTGCGCTAAAAGCAAGAAAAAAACAAGGGTGAATGACAGAAATACTGAGACATGAATCAAAGAAGAGAAGTCAGAAATAATGATAAAAACGAATACAAGAGGATCCACGCAATAATCAGGCAGAAGATAAAACACGCGAAAACACAATTTCATAGTAAAGAATGTAATAAAATTGAACAATATGAAAAGAAACACGATACATTTCATCAGCACAAGAAATTAAAAGAGGTCGCTGGAAACAAACGGAAACAAGTATCCCAAAGTTTAGAAGACAGAAACGGACACAGAATATTAGACATCAATGAAAAGCTTTGCACGAAACGCAGATGACACCATAGTATTTGCGGACAACTTAGATCCAACTTCAATTGAATTGGGCCTTGTTCAAGAATCACAACCCTCTCTTGATACAAAAGTAAGAATGCTGCGATGCTACGTATTCTCTGTCCTTTTTTATGGTGTTGAATCGTGGAGCTTGAACGAAGATATGTGCAGAAAACTGGAAGCATTTGAGATGTGACTATATCGAAGAATGCTAAAGATCGCGTGGACTGACCGAGTCACAAATGAGGAGGTCCTTAGAAGAATGAATAAGAACTGAGAGGTACTTCGGACCTTTTGGGTTAGGACAAAGAAACGAAAGATGTGACAGACTAGAAATATTCGCAGAAGATAACAAGCTCGTGGTTCTGAACACATTTTATAAACTACCAACGAGGAGATTGTATACATGGAAGGCACCAGCAAATAAACCCCATAACGTAATTAGAAACCAGATAGATTATATATTGGTAAATAGAAGATTCAGAAACAGTTTTAAATCTGTCAAAACATATCCAGGAGCGGACATTGAATCTGACCACATACCTTTAGCGGGAGTCATGGATGTGAGACTGAAGACAATAAAGAAAAAGTCTAGACCTAACTACGGCATGACAGCCCTGCAACATCCGGAAGTCAAAAAGCAAGTGGGGGAATATATTAACAACCAAGTTAAACAACTAAAAGAAGAAAATAACATCCAACGAGAAATCAATCAATTCGAAGAAATAATTAAGAAAACTAAACAAGATCTGCTAAAACCAAACAAAGAAGAAATCTTGGATGACTCCAGAAATCCTTCACTTAATGGAACGCAGAAGGTTAATTAAAGGAAATAAAGATGAGTATAAAAAAATGCAGGCTTACATCAGAAGAAAAATAAGAGAAGCCAAAGAAAAAGAAGCTGTAGAGAAATGTAAAGAAATAGAAAGACTACAAGCCAAGCATGACAATTTTAATGTACACAAAAAGGTAAAAGAAATAACGGGTACTTTTAAAAAGCGAACACAAATGAAACATAGACACCAATGGAAAATTAATCATTGACACCCAAGAGATGAAAGACAAATGGAGAATATATTTGGAGACACTTTTTCAAGATCAAAGAACGGATTATAGGCATCCATTTTCAGAGAGGATGACGGGCCCGACATACTTAAATCCGAGGTAGAAGAAGCAATAAAACGGATGAAAAGCAGGAAAGCTGTAGGGCCTGATAATATCGAAGCTGAATTTTTAAAACTCTTGGAGGAAGAAGGAATAATTTGGATCACGGCTATCTTCAATAAAATATACAATACAGGAATCATCCCTGATAAATGGCTAGAATCAGAATTCATAGTGATACCTAAAAAACAGGGGGCTAAGTGCGAAGAATATCGAACGATCAGCCTAATGAGCCACATGTTGAAACTGTTTCTTAGAGTCATCCATGGAAGAATTTATAAGAAGCGCGAGGAACAAATATCGGACAGACAGTTCGGCTTCATTAACGCAGTGGGTACCAGAGAGGCACTTTTCGGAGTACAGGTACTGATTCAAAGATGCAGGGACATTAACTGCGACGTATACGCGTGCTTGATCGACTATGAAAAGGCATTTGACAGAGTTCAACATCAAAAGATGATAAACATTTTAAAATAGGCAGACCTGGATGACAAAGACCTCAGAATAATTTCAGAACTCTACTGGAATCAGACCGCATACATGAAAATTAACGGAGAATAAACAGATCACATAAAAATACTACGTGGAGTTAGACAGGGATGTATCCTATCGCCGTTGATATTTAATATGTACTCAGAGAAAATTTTTAACGAGGCTCTTTACGGAATAGACGAAGGCATCCTTCTAAATGGTGAAAGAGTAAACAATGTTAAATATGCCGGCGACACCATGGTGATAGCAGATAGTTTAGAGGGACTTCACGAGGCTAATGGACAGAATAAACGAGTATAGTCAACAGTACGGACTAAACATTAGTACCCACAAAACGAAACAAATGATTATCAGCAAGGAGAATATAAACGGGGCTCATCTATACATTAATGGGACGCAGATAGAGCGAGTAAAACAGTATTGTTACCTGGGAACTATTATTAACGAACAGTGGAACAATTTACAGGAAATAAAGTGCCGCATGGGAAAGGCAAGAACGGTCTTTAACAAAATGAGCGTCATCTTCAAAAGTCACAACATATCCCTTGATACAAAAAATGAGACATTTGAGATGCTATGTTTTCTCTGTGTTGTTGTACGGGGCGGAGGCATGGACGCTTACAGACACCACTATTAAAAAACTTGAAGCATTTGAGATGTGGCTTTATAGAAGAATGCTGAGAATATCATGGACAGCAAGGATCATGGACAGCAAGGATCACGAACAAGTTCTAGGAAAAATGAAGAAGGAACCAGAGATTGTGTTTACAATCAAACGCATAAAATTGCAATATCTGGGACACGTTAGGAGAAATGAGCACCGTTACTCCCTGCTACAGTCTATATTGCAAGGTAAAGTCAAAGGTAAGCGAGGGCCCGGTAGAAGGAGAATATCATGGCTGCGGAATTTAAGAACATGGTTTAAGAAAACCTCAACGGAGCTGTTTCGAGCCGCAGCGAGCAAGGTTATGATTGCCAATATGATTTCCAACATCCGAAACGGATAGGAATCAGAAGAAGAAGAAGAAGAAGAGAGGTACTGACCACCATCAAATCTCGAAAATTACAGTTCTTCGGACATATTATGCGAAATGAATCCAGATATGCTCTCCCTCAAGCCATCCTGCAAGGAAAAATATTTGGAAAACGGGGTCCAATAAGAAGAAGAACATCTTAGTTAAAGAACCTCAGAATCTGGTTCAATAAAAGATCTGTGCAGCTTTTCCAGGCTGCACAGATCTTGTATTCAGAAAAAGTAGAAGTTAAATGTCAGCAAGTTGTAGTTGTTAAGTAAAACGTTATTACAGATGAATACTATTAATTACTTTTCATACACCCGTGATTTTCACTCAGTACAGAACATAAACTCCAGGACTACTTCATCATCATCTTTGACTCTATAACCCTGGGTGGTTCAAGAATTAGTATCCATTCCCCCTATCTTTCGCCCCTCCAATTTCTGACCACTAAATTCCTCAAGTCATCTTCGACTTGAGTTTTGAATCTAGATCTTGACCTGCCTCTCCTCCTGGTTCCTACTAGTCCTTGATAGAATATCTGTCTTTGAGGGTCTCCAGGGTCCATTCTTTCAAGGTGTCCAGGACTACTTCAGTGACTTAAAATATCGATGGTTGCTATTGTTAATTTATAGTGAAATGTGCACATCACATCACTGTCCATCTTTTACTGTCCATCCAAGTTGTCATATGTCAGATGTCACTTTAACATTTCCGTTAAGATCAGGAGTCATTCTCTCCCCTACTGTTAACCACTATGTAGCTTCTTCAATTTTATAATATTTTATTATTTAGTGTTGTGTAAATGTATTATTTCCCAAAATTGGGATTTGGGAAATTAAAATGGGTCCTAAAGAATAAGAAAATACAACAGTACTTAAAAACAAGAGTGTTTGACCAGTGCATACTCCCAATTCTCACATACGCATGCCAAACATGGACTCTGACCAAAGCAAACATGGATAAGATAGTGAAGACACAAAGAGCCATGGAGAGAGCAATGTTGGGAGTAAAATTAAAAGACAAGAAGCAAAACATCTGGATAAGAAACAAAACAAAAGTCAAAGACGCAGGTCAACATATAGCCAGGCTAAAATGGAGTTTCGCAGGTCATAACGCCAGACAAACAGACAATAGGTGGAACAACACGATACAACATTGGAGACCATGGACAGGAAAGAGAGCAAGAGGACGACCCCAGATGAGATGGGGAGATGACATTAGAAAGATAGGAGGAATACACTGGAAACAGAAAGCACAAAACAGAAGCGAATGGAGGAAACTGGGGGAAGCCTATGTTCAAAATTGGACGAATTAAAGGGCAAAAGAAGAAGAAGAAGAAATGTATTATTTAATGTTTATGACATTCCTAAAATAGCTGGATAGCCTATAATTTTGATGAAGTAAGTATAAAACGTTATATTACATAAAAAAAATTTATCAACCATTAACTTCGAGTTTTTTCTCGAAGTTAATGGTTGATAGAAGTTAATTAATTTTCCTTCAGTTGAAAAAACGTTTCTTGCAAATACCCCTGAAGATGCTTTAGGAGCAAAAGTACTTGGGCAAGATTTAATAAAAACTGTGCTCTGTATCTGCTTTTTATTTAATTGAAGTTCATTTATTCGAGCATTCAACCTTATATCACTTTGAAGAATAAAGCGTTACGAACCTGTATACTTTTGGGAAGGACTTCCAAATACCATTTTCTTTTAAAATATCTTTTAACCCAAGCATTATTGAATATTATTTAGCAAAAATACTTACTCCCCATCGTTAATGGTTCTTTTTGTTTGTCTAACTCTTACAGTTGCATCATGGGATGGAAATATACACGGAAGTAAACCATTTTTAACAACTCGATCGACACCTGCATGTTGTCTTTCAAATGATAACCTACTTAGCACAAATTTTACATCGTAAATTTCTCTAATTTCTGATTGACTCTCAATGATCATTATCAACCTGAAACAAAACGTATATAAAATATAAGATACGATATACACATATATAAAATCTATAAAATTAATAGGGGCTGTAAAAACGCTACTTATTTAACAATGAGACATGGGACAGAAGGTGCAGAGAGATAGAATCTTATATTGGAGAACGACAATGCACTGAGGCGTGGAAGTTTATAAACTCTGTTAAGAAGCCGACTAACGAGAAAGTGATTCTAAATCCCATAAATCCCGAGGATTGGACACATTATTACAAACATCTATTAAATGAGAACAGACGAATTTAAAGAAGATATGAATTCATCAAGAATCGAAATTCTGGGAGAGCATATTACCATAGATATCAACATAGTTTAAAAAGCTATAGCAGGGATGAAGAATGGGAAAGCAAGTGGACGAGAGGGAGTAACTACGGAATTAATAAAGAATGGCTCGGAGAAATTACACAGAATGATCACGGTTATATTTAACGAATATATTAATGGACATCCAACACCAGATGAATGGAAAACAGCATATATGACCCCAATATATAAAAAAAGGTGACAGGAGAAATTGTAAAAACTATACAGGGATATCAGTCACAAGTTCAATGAGTCGACTATACGGTCGAATACTACGGGACCTGATAGAGGAAGATTACCAATCGTCTGAAGACGAAGAACAAGGAAAATTTAGAGCAGGTCGTTCATGTACAGATAACATCTTCTGTCTTAAACAAATTATAGAAAAGAAAATTGTGACAAATAGAGAGTTACATAGGACTTTTCTAGACCTTGAGAAGGCATATGACACAGCTCCGCTAAATAAACTATGGGAAGTCCTGGACACATCAAACATACATCAAACATTGGTTAGTGCTCTCAAAGATCTATATTATGGTTCAAACTCCCAAATGAAATTCGGAAACCTCTTAGCTGAAAAATTTGCAGTTACTAAGGGTCTCAGACAAGGATGTTGTATCTCTCCGACTCTATTTAATATTTATATCTCTGCAGCTCTTAAACAATGGAAAAGGAAAGTCAAAGGAATAGGTATACAATTGAACGATCAGGATTACATATATACTTTACAGTTTGCAGATGATCAGGTGGTGATCTCAAACGACAAAGACGACATGGAATACATGCTTAGAAAACTAATTGAAGAATACCAGAAATTGGGATTAAATATCAATTTAGAAAAGACAAAATACCTCTCAATTGGAGCTGAAGCAGAACAACTCGATATCGATGACAATCAAAAAATAAATCCATGTGACGAATATAAATACCTGGGCGTCATCTTGGACCATAGTGGAAAAGACAAACGAGAAAAAGAACATCGAATTGTACAAGCATGAAGAGCTATAGCATGTTTGAACGGAGTTCTATGGAGTAAAGAAATATCAAAGAACAGAAAATGGAACATCTATGAGACAATGGTTAAAACTAGCCTACTTTATGGAGTTGAGACATGGAGAATAACAGAGAAATATAAGAAAAAGGTCGAAGCCACGGAAATGAATGCCATCAGAAGATCGATGAGAATATCAAGAGCCGACAGAATACGAAATAAAGTGATAAAACTACAAATGTGTATAGAGGGCACTATAGTTGAGGATACTGAGAGAAAACAGCTCATATGGTATGGGCATGTAAGCCGAATGGGGGACGAAAGATTGCCTAAAAAAACGATGATGTGGCAACCCCCAGAGAAGAGAAAACGAGGAAGACCACCACAGAGCTGGAACCTGGGAGTTAGGAAAGCGATTAGCGCTCGAAATCTGGACTAAGACCTAACTCAAGACAGAATACATTGGCGTTTGGGAGTCGGACAACGTCGTAAGACGTTATAAAACCGAATATATATATAAATATATATATATATATATATATATATATATATATATATATATATATATATATATATATAAGATAAGGGCAACAATGCACTGGCCATAACAAGGTAGTTGATGGTATTGAGATTGTTAACATATTCCAAGAAAAAATTACTATAGAGTGTACATAAAAATAAGAGACTGTTCAGAGTTAAAGTAAATTTGTTAGTGTGAAGTGATCAAAATAAAAAATAGGAGAGGTATGCCGAAGAAAACCTGTTGCAACACAGTTAAACATTCTCAGTACATACATTCTCTTGGCAGATTGAGTTTCTTCTAATGAATAATCGTTTTATAGTAGTTTAATAACATTACTAGATATAATACATAACAAGAATCTTGTTACTCACTCTCTATGTACGTCTCCAATTTCTACAGTAGAATCATTAACTTTTCTTATGATTCCCGTGTAACCAGTGTGGTCAATGTGAGGACGAATATGTACCATATCTCCAGCAATCACCGATGGGCGTTTTTCAGCTAAGCCTGGCACATAAAGTTCTAGTCGTTCATTGTCTAATAAGTTTAACGAAACCTGTAATCAAAATCATAGTGATAACAGCTATAAATGATTGGTATATCATTTATTTGCTTTTCGTGTTGAATGAATCAAGATAGTTATGGGTTTCTTACTACTATTTTTGAATAATTTGTATATTTTACTTCAATTCGGTAATGTAAAGAAGAAAAAATGGATAGCAATACGAAGAGTCTTGAACTCACAATTTAATCAATTCCTGAAATATTTAAAATACTGTATTATAATTGGAACATTTTTTAAATTGTGTTGTACCTTCTTACTAATAACTGGACTTAGGCTAAAATGCATATATTGCATATTTTATGCAAATATCTGGAGATTTTGCATATTTATGAAACAAGTGGACAGTGTCCACTTGTACCTCATAGATAGGTTCTTTCAAAACATGTAACGATGTGCTGAACGTTCAACAGTTCGAACCGTGGGAGTGTCGATATTCACGCATCCACTCCCGGTCGGCGGCGAACAAACTTCACTCCGTCACTCCCAAAGATCGAGATTTTGGTTTCATCACTCCAAATTACTTTACTCCATTGTTCTTCTATCCACCCTCTGTGTGCCAAAGCCCAATCAATGCGTTTTTGCCTCTATTTTTTGTTCAGAAACGGCTTTTTTCCAGGAATTCGTGCTCGCAATCCATTTTCACACAACTTTCTTCTAATAGTGCGGTTCGATATTTGTAATCCAGTTGATTTGACAATACCGTTAATATCTTTTGCGGATCTGCGACGATCTTCTAAAGAAAGTCGGCATATTCTACGCACATCGTAGTGACTAAGTTTGGGTTTTCTACCAGATCTTTTTGCTGACTTTGTCGTTCCACGTTTGCAAACTTTCATTACACCTTATTTTGTGGCGTCACCACCCAATTTGTTTGCTATTTCTTGATAAGTGTAACCTTCTTCTCGAAGAATAATTGCTTTGGCTCTCTTTCCTGGCGACCAGTCAACACGTTCTGGGTTTCTGGTTGCCATTTTCGTTGAATCGACGCTGATGAATTCCTCTCTGACAATTAAACAATATCACTTTAGTAACAACTACCTGATGTCACTAATAAACACTGGAAGCCACACGAAACTGTACTAAAGGCTTCTAGTTGGGTTGTTGACTGACTAGCAAAACCTTGACGCAATACAGTACTGCCAATGTTGCCATTCACAAATCTCGGATTTTCGGCGTTTCGCTTGAATCTGATTCCATATTTTATTAAATATTGATGTTAATAAAAAAGGTGAGAAATACATAAAATTTTATACAGGAATATAAAACAATAAAATAAAAATGTAATTGTAATGGTAAACTATATAAATCATGTCATGAGACGAGTCTTGCTAAAAAAACGATAATTTTTGTAAATTTTCCAGAATGTTGGCCACTAGTATACCATTATTTAATATATGTATCCATTAACAATATGCATATGCATAATTTTGGGTACATTACTGCATGTTTATGAATATATTTTTCACTTTTTTTGCATATTTGCCTAAATCTACAACTCTCAGTAATCGATGCTCGGTTAATTTTGCCAAAAAAAAATTATTATTGTTGTGAAGCTATTTTTTTATTCCCATTTAAATAGTAATTACTTTAAAAAACTATTACATACGTTTGAGATTTCAAGAAAAAAATAATTACACTATTACTTACATTTTCCATATTGTACTGTTGAAGACCAAGTGTTTGTCCAATCTCTTCAATCCAAAGAACATTATGCCAAAATTTTCTGAAATTATCTCTAGTAACTTCTCCTGGTTCCATTTCTCTCCTAAATATTCATAAAATGTTCAATATTTGTAAATAATAAAAAAAGAGCCAATTTAAAAACTTGTGTTCGAATTGGAGGAAATCGTAGAACTCATTTTAAATAAAAATCCAAGTGAACCACCAGAATATCAGTACCAAGTTTTTACAATTTTAACTGAATTATAAAAGTAATTATCAATATAGGGTCAATTATTAGAAACTTTCCACGGACACATCACAAATTAAATTGACCATGTTATGATTGACAGAAGGCACTTTACAAACCCAATGGACATCATAAATTACAGAAGCGCAAATATTGACTCAGACCATTAATTTCATGGTAGAGGCCAAGTTACGACAAAGAATTTCCAATGTCAATAAAGAAAGAGGCACTAGACAAGTAAAATATAATTTACATATGCTAAAAAATGAAAACAAAGAGAAACAATTTAGTCACATATAAAAGAAACCCTAGAACACACCTGGGCAGTCGACCAGTCAAGCACGGAAATGTGGAACAACTACAAGGAGGCTCTGAAATTAGTAGGCGAAAGCACATTGGGAATATCCCGAACCCAAGGATCACCAAGGTGATGCAAGGAATTGTTTGTAATATTTGGTCTGAGGTAGGGATGGCGGTTTTTGACATAACACCAGTTTTCGGTTATACCGTTTTTTTTTGCTTACGGTCTAACTTGGCGGTTATAACCGGCCAAAAAAACCGGTTTTTCCAAAAATCGGTTTTTCGGTTTTTTTAATCCAATAGATTACAAAGTTACATTTACAATGCACTTTAGTTTGCGATACTTCATTCGACTCGATATCAATATGATCAAAATTAGTACTATCGAAAGAACATCAATATCAATATAAATAAGACACAATATTTAATAAAACCATTTTATTCTATTAATTATTATATTTATTTATTATTTTATTATTATTATATATTTATTGATTATTATTAAATATAATATTATACTACTGCTCAACAGAGAGCGCTGAAATAATTCAGGTTCTATTGTCATTGAATTTATTATGAGAGTAGAATATAATATGCAATTATCGTATTCAATTATTGTTGCAAGTTTAATTTACCATTTAAAAATATTATCCTTTAAAATATCCACCAATTTTCCTCTCCTCCCAAATCCAAAAAATTCCTCAACCGTTGCAATATAAAAATTGCAAAAATTATAAATTTCTCAGACTGTTTCAAATGGGATTTAAAAAAATAATATCAACACAAATATTTTACTTAAAAATAAATTGGATAATGAAATTCATCTTTTATTTTTACTACCATCAAAAAAAATTTATCATGTATTACTTTTAACACGTTTGTATGTTTGTATAATAGGTACATTTTAACTCATTTAATACTTCCTGTAATGGTGTATCGTTTTGAAAACGTAGGGAAATCCTTGGAGATTCGTATTCGTAATAAGTAATTCGATATTCATCGTCAGAACATTAGTTTTGGTAATCAGCAAAAGCCATTCACCCACTTTCAATGTCAAGAGTCAAGTGTGAAAAATAGATAATGTACCAGGTCATTTCTTACGTAAATATTATGATTTCAAATACCTTTTCAACGAAATATTATAATTAGGGTGACCATATGTACTTTTTTTAGTAGGACAGTACTTTCTTTTCAAACGCTGTCCTATTGTACTTTAAAATTTATGAAGTACACCTAAATGCACTCTTTTTCTTATTAAGACAAAATTAAGTCCTACTTTTTGTCAAAACAAAATATAATTATGGTTCAAATTGATTCAAGAATTGATCTTTTGCGGAAGAATCAGAATCTCCTATCTTTAGCAGCAATCGATCGGCGCAGCAGTCACTTGCGACTCTCGTCGCCGCGTCATCGTCTAGTTTAGTTTATTACCGATGCGCCCATCACTGTCGATTTAATTTCGCAGCAAAATCTTATTATCTTATTTATTTAGTATATGTTTATGTTTATTTGTTACTTGTGCGCTCACTGTTAATTAGTCTATTAACCTTTTGTCTTAAATTCCGGCAGTTTTTCTCGTTTTTTATTATTATTTTGTGCTGTGTGGAAAAATAAACAATTTCATCATGTCACCGCCTAGAAGAAAATGCCATTTTAACGTCAAGTTGCAAGCAGAGTATCCTTTTTATGAAAGAAAAATCAAATGTTATCGCATATCAATCACCACATATTGTGTTTTGTCAAGTTTGTAAAAGTGATGTTAATATTTCTTACAGTGGTCGCAGCAATATCAAACAACATTTGTCAAAGAAAAAACACATGTTGGCTGCTAATGCGAACTCGAAGAGCAGCAAATTGGAAACCTTTGTTAAAAAAGAAAATATAAGTTCTTGAAAATATGTTCATTGCTGTCAAGGAAGGTACTTTGGCTTAGCATACAATTAAGCATTTGCAAAGTTTCAGATCCTTAGACTGCACGTCAAAATTAATTGTAAGCATGTTTGAACCTAAATTTGTGGCAGCTCGAACCAAGACTGAGGCGATTATAAAAAATGTTGCTGGGCTCAATCCCAGTTAGAATTTGACCTTCGAAAAGCAAATTTCGTCAGCATCGCAATCGATTCGTCGAATCATAGAGAAATTAAAGTTGTGCCCTTAATGGTAGATATTACCAGGTGACTTACCTGGTGAAACATCTGAGCAGTTAAAAGATTACGTGGTTAATGTTTTGACTCACCATAATCTACTACAAAAATGCATCGGAATGTCTGCTGATAATACAAATACAAATATTTTGGTGGGATGAGAAGAAAAGGAGTAAACAATCTATTGAGCAAATTAAATGTTTCTCGTGGTAAACCCGTGATTGGAATTGGTTGTGTGGCACACATTTTTAATAACTGTTTACAAAATGCGACGGACGTCTTACCCATAGACATCGAGGTTATTGAAGTCAAGATTTTTAAGTATTTCCATATTTTTACAGTCAGAGTGGAGAAACTAAAACAGTTTTGCGATTTTGTTGATAACGAGTACAAAAAAATATTGTCGTTTTCAGAAACAATATTTTTGAGTCAAATGCCAGCCATTGAACGAATTATACAAATGTTCGAACCCTTGAAAGCATATTTTTTATCCATTGATAACTGTCCAACAGTTCTAAAACAGTTTTTTTAAAACCCAATCAGTGAAGCATGGATGTGGTTTGTACATAACATTTCGTCTCTCTTCCACAAAGTCGTTTTAGATGTATAAGGTGACAAAATATGGGTAACGGAAGCCGCTTTGGAGTATTTCGAACTCATAAATAAGCTTCAAAATTGCTTAGATGAGTTATTTTAACCGCTTAAAGTAAAAGAGTCACTTTCAAAACTTGAAAATATGGAAGACCTTGATCTTAGTGTGAACTATCGGGATATCTTTATCACACATGTCAAGCAGTTCTATTCAAATTGTGTAACATATTTGAAAAACTGGAGTGAAAATTTAAGTGAACTAAAGCTATTTGGATGGGTTAACTTAAAAAAACAAGTTTCTTGGGCTGAAGTTTTATCGTCGTGTAAGGCTTTCAAGACTACATAGGTCTGATATTAAATCAGGACGAACTGTTTGATGAAGGTAGTCAGTAGTTAGTACAGAGGATAAAATCGCAGACTGGAATTCGAAAAATATTTCTACCGAAGATCGATGGCTCGAAATCTTCCAAAAGAAAGTGCTTTGAAAAATCTCAAAATTCTATGTGAGTTTGTTTTTGTCTGTCTGGGACCAGTGCGGCGATTGAGCGGTTGTTCTCAAATATCAATAACTAATGGAGTACCAACAAATCGCAGTTGAAAATATCTACTCTGGAAGCCATCATGCAAGTCTATACAAACTTCAAAGTTTCGTGCAATGAAATGTTTCCGTTCTTAAAGAGTAAACCACAACTTCTAAAGAAAATTCATAGTTCCAAAACGTACGACTGGTACCAAAATGATGATCAGGAAGGAACGTCGAAAGAAAATTAACTATTAAAATTTATCATATATTTTTTATGTACTTATGTTTGATTAAAAAAAATCGTTCTTATCATTCTTTCATTAAAGATTCGTAAAATTTTGACCAGAAAAATTTCCTGGGGCACTAGGGCACTAGCAGTGTACATATTTTCTTAAAAATTATAAATGTACTTTTTTTTTTGTTGAAAAATTATGGTCACCCTAATTATAATAAAACTTAATTGTTTCTGGCTGATGTAAGTTTGCACTTTCAGTTTGCTTCTGTATTTATAAAATAAAATATAATTTGAATTATGGTTTTGTTTGGAATAATTACTTGAAAATAATAATTATGACTGGGTTCCAAATAATACCTATCCTAATCACCGTAAAAACCTAATAACCGGTTTTTACTTTAAAAATAAAAAACCGGTTTTCGGTTAAAACCGGTAAGTATTTCCCATCCCTAGTCTGAGGAGCAAACCATACTTACTGTAATTCCCTTAAGCGGTAAAAATCGTCTCCCCTCATTTCTTGAAATTGTTGTAGACCGTAAAGGTAAAACCTTTTTGAAGCCTCTGGAATTTTATACATATTGGAGTAATTCCTAAAAATAAAAATACTAGCTAAAAATCATTTTCATTAAGATGGAAATTTATATTAAAACTAAAACATGCTATCCTGATTCGTAACACAAGTGAATCGAAAAAAAAAACTTCAACAAGAAAGCGCAAATTGCTTGAAATGGCTTCTACTTGACGTGCCTATTCTGCCCTGCTAAGCTGAAAGGTCCTATCTACCAATTGTGCTATTTTGTGAAAAACGCAATTACCTTTAGTTTGCTGCGTCATTCGTAATATTAATGATATCGAACTGTAATTTTGAATGAACTTAATTTGTGTATATAGAATTTATGGGATAATCCAAGGAAGTAATTAGTTTAGAGCATACATGAGTTTTGATAGATAGGACGGTTTAGCTTAGGACTTTATTAAAAATCTCAGATAGGATAAGATTTTTTTATAACGAATTTATATTGCACTTATAACGAGACATTTATTTCTTCACGAAACTGTCTCTAGTTGGCTGGAGCTAGAATTATAGTTTGCAGGTTATTCAGCAACTTCTGCGTTCTCTCTTGACTAATTCTTCGGTTGGAGTTTTGTGAAGGTGGAAGTGCCACACCAGTTTTAAATGTACCTGCAGTTAAAAGTTCAGTTCTTTCAAATCTTCTGTGTCATACGAGTTTTTATATTTTAATGTTTTCTCGCCTCTCGTAAAAATTGCCAGCCAAATATTATTGAGATAGCAGCGTGGCCTAACTCTTTTAATTTGTATTTTGAACTGAAATCTGCCCACTCATAGAAATGTCTATTCTCTAATGCTACAACATCGGTGTTGTTGAATTTAGAACACATTGAACATAGTAATTAAAATCCCAAATAGTTTTGACCCTTTTTAATGATTTTTTTACCTGGTGGTGAAAATGGTCCGCGGACATAAACGTGTGTCCGCGCTCAAAATATTTTATTGTTAATTATTTTAAGTTAACTTCTGTAGCATTTACTATATAGACTAAAGAGCTGAACAAACACCAATTCTTGTTCATGTTCTTATTCAGCCAAATTTTTATTGATTCTTTATCCCTGTTTTTTAGGAAGAATGCGTAGAAAGTATATATCTTCTTCACTATATCTTCTTTTCTTCTTCCTGATATTCCTTCGTGTCACAGAATTTCTAAAGGATCTAAACGTCCCTACCTTTGACGACAGCAACAAGACTTCCGTTAAAAGCAATTATGCGCCTAGTAAAAATGACTTATTTAAACATATCTGCTCTTGAGAGCATTTACTTTCTGAAGATCTGCTAAAACTATGAGATCTGACGATTTTAGTTGCGATTCCGCAACTTTTTCATACTGTTTCTGGCAGTAATATATTTATTTCTGTTAGATGCATAGTTTTCACACACTACACAATTGTGTGTTGGATTAACATGATTGGTTTCGGTCTTATGGAGATCATATGATGCACACTGGAAGCACTCTTCACAGCCAAGTTGTACAAACGGTATGTTGAGTTTTGCAATTTCCTGACGATAAAGTTCATAACTACCATGACAATAAGGATTCTTTAGTTTGTAGTCATTGTACACAATTGTAATTGAAATATTCGATGGTATATATAGACTATTTGGAGCATGCTCCCGACGATAATGAGATACGGTAGCTCGAAAAGACTTTATATGTTCCAGTAAAGAATCTCATGACTAAATGACATAAAGAATGTTCCAGACTAAAAACTACCGAAAACAAACACTTTCGATTTTTAGGTTATGCTGTTTTAAGGTTTAATGCTGAATATGTGCTATCTGTCACTTAGAGCATGCTAGATTTTGGGTAGCATTACATATTGTAATACTGACAATCTGTTACAATAGGACACTTCAGGTTTGTAAAGCTCAGATAGGACGTAATGCTTAGTAATCAGATCTTAGTTTGAACTTAGGACAACAAGAATCACTTCAGAACAGCTATTTAATGACACATAGGACAGCTCTGCTTTGAAACGAAGATACAGAATGCTTTTCGCTACGACCCAGTACCGTTAGAACCAAAACTGCGATTTTGTCAGTTAGGACCTTTCAGCTTAGCAGGGCAGTATTCGTTACGAATGTTGGCGATCATCATGGCAATCTTTATCTTATCTGCAGCAACAGAGAAAAGCTACACAGATGTTGTATTGAACCAAATTATGAGGTTATGTAACCAAGACATTCTTCTTCTTCCTGGACCTCGCTTTCCAAATATTTTTTCTTGAAGGATGGCTTGAAGGAGAGCCATATCTGGATTCCTTTCACATAATATGTCCGAAGAATTGTAATTTTCGAGATTTGATGGTGGTCGGTACCTCTCGATTCTTATTCATTCTTCTGAGGACCTCCTCATTTGTGACTTGGTGCCAATGGCGGAAATGGCAAATGGTTAAAATTCTTTTTTGATAAACTTAGCGACTGATACTGATACTTACATTGAATCTGTAGGTGGGTGTATTAGCTGTACATCCCGCCATGGATTTCCGGTAAATGGACTTCCGGTCATATGTTGATTTTCATTTTCTTCAATACTTTCTTCCACTGAGATATTCTTAAAAATAAATCGTTTTTTATTAGATGTCATTTTTCAACAACCATATTAAAATATTTATGCTTTCATTAATAAATAATCAAATTTCACCTGGACTTAAGAAACAAGAAACCTCCGAGCTATAATTGACTACTTCATAATGAAAATCGAAACATCGATCAGAGTTACAGATGTCAGAGTTAGAAGGAGAGCGGAATATGGTTCTGACCAAAAATTGCTGATAGCAAACATGCGATTCCCTTGGAAAACTCAATCAAATCAATCAAAAAGAACAGTGGTAAATGAAACTCAAACGCAGGCCGAAACGAAGTACAAACTACACTTGCTAAGGGAAGAATCCATGAAAGACTTGTACAGACGAAGATTAGACCAAAAACTGGAGGTTTGGTTTTGAGAACATAGACGAAACATATGAACATATAAAATCCTGCATAAAGGAAGCAGCAGCGGAAGCCTTAGGTTGCGAAGAGAGAAGAACAAATAGATATCGACAACGTCTATCAGAAAGCACGGAAGAATGTATTAAGCAGAAGAAACAGTTATATTATAAATGGTTAAGCTCAAAAGAACAAGTGGACCTAGAAAGATACAGAGGGAAGAACAGAGAGGTAAAAAGATTAATAGCAAGAGATAAAAATGATAACTGGGAATCAACATGTATGAACATCGAACAATGGAGGTACAAAGAACTCAGAATCCTGGAAAGTGATAATGAGTCTGAAAGAAAACGCACAGCAAAAAACACATTTTACTTTCATAAGCGAAAAACAATGGAATGATTACTACCAAGAACTCCTGTGAACAGTAGTGACAGCGTAATAAACAGTGTAGTAGTGTCTGGGTGCTCGGGAGACTGAGACCTCGGAAGCCCTGAGGAAGGCATCAGAGAGGATGCCGAAAGCTCGGCAAAATGGATGTCGACGCGGTTCAACCCGGAAGACTGGTGAGTTTGATATTAATTTTAGTATAATATTAATCTTAGCTCTAAGTTACATTGTACTAACCGCGGAAATCTTTCCGAACATTTTATATATATATATATATATACACTGTTTTTGATGGGTTGGAGTCAATAAAAGTTCGGAGTTCAATTGTGATTACAATTTTTATCAAGAGCTTCTAAAAAATACAAAATGTCTTACAAAGTTGAACTAGAAATAAAAAATTTTTTGTTAACTCACCAAATAAAATTAGTTTTTTATATAAAACTACTGCTTACATATTAAATACAAAAAATATTAATAAAAAAATGTCTTATTCTAATAAATGTTTCTCTGAAAAATTTAGATGAAGTTTCTTAAGAAAAAAAATTGAATTTATAAACAAAAATAGAATAGCTACAACCAACCTAAATGTCATAAATACTAACTTAAAAATTTTTATTTTTGACATATTGTCAAAAATAAAATTTTGTTTAAAAAATTCTTCTTTGTTTAGTAACAAAAAAGAAGAAGATTTATTCACCATTGATAGATGCCCGAAAAAATGTAACAAATATATGGAAAATTCAAAATGTGATATTTTACTGACTGCATAAATTAAATAGAAATTATATAATTATAAATTTTGCTTAAATTTTGAATTTCTGACCTTTTGTTTAAATTATTATCACTTTTGTTAATACAAACCATTTCCAAAAAAGTTCTTTTAAATTTATTACTTTCATTACATAAAATTTTAGTATTATCAAAATCCATAATATGGTCTTTGTCTATTACATGCTCTGCCAAAGCACAAGATGGTTTCTTAATTCTACAATCACTCTTGTGAGAAATAATGCGATTTGAGAGATTTCTTCTAGTCTCACCAATATACTCAGCTTCACACTGAGTACAAACAATGCTGTATACTACATTTGTTTGATCTAATTTGTCTATAGGATATTTAGTTTTGGAATATAAAGATGAAATAGTTTTGATGCTCTTTGTTGCTATTTTTACATTGTCAATAACAATAATAATTTTATAAAGTATACAGCATTGTTTGTACTCAGTGTGAAGCTGAGTATATTGGTGAGACTGGAAGAAATCTCTCAAATCGCATTATTTCTCACAAGAGTGATTGTAGAATTAAGAAACCATCTTGTGCTTTGGCAGAGCATGTAATAGACAAAGACCATATTATGGATTTTGATAATATTAAAATTTTATGTAATGAAAGTAATAAATTTAAAAGAATTTTTTTGGAAATGGTTTGTATTAGCAAAAGTGATAATAATTTAAACAAAAGGTCAGAAATTCAAAATTTAAGCAAAATTTATAATTATATAATTTCTATTTAATTTATGCAGTCAGTAAAATATCACATTTTGAATTTTCCATATATTTGTTACATTTTTTCGGGCATCTATCAATGGTGAATAAATCTTCTTCTTTTTTGTTACTAAACAAAGAAGAATTTTTTAAACAAAATTTTATTTTTGACAATATGTCAAAAATAAAAATTTTTAAGTTAGTATTTATGACATTTAGGTTGGTTGTAGCTATTCTATTTTTGTTTATAAATTCAATTTTTTTTCTTAAGAAACTTCATCTAAATTTTTCAGAGAAACATTTATTAGAATAAGACATTTTTTTATTAATATTTTTTGTATTTAATATGTAAGCAGTAGTTTTATATAAAAAACTAATTTTATTTGGTGAGTTAACAAAAAATTTTTTATTTCTAGTTCAACTTTGTAAGACATTTTGTATTTTTTAGAAGCTCTTGATAAAAATTGTAATCACAATTGAAAGCTCGAGTAAAAAATAGTCAACAAATAGCCCCTTTTATTGACTCCAACCCATCAAAAACAGTGTTATATTTTTTCCAAACGAGTCACAAGTACTTCTTTTTTCTTATATATATATATATATATATATATATATATATATATATATATATATATATATATATAATGTATATATACATCATCAAAATCAAATTCTAAGAAATGTTTTACAGACATTTGTTCAAAATAATCATTATCACAGCTAATAATCTTTCTGTAGAAAAATTTAAAAGTGAGTTATCGAAACTTGTCCAAAAATGTACTAGTACCTTAAATTCAACCTTTATGCCAACCTCACCATATCTTAATCGACCATATTGATAAAAAAATTTAGCAATTCAATTAGAATATTACAAAAGTTTAACCAAGATTATTTTGTGGTCGGTTAATTTGGATATATTTAATTTGGTTTTATATCATATAGTATACTTACAATTGATCGAATTATGGAGAAAGTTTCTTTTTTATTCGTCTGAAAATTAAAACAAATTGGAATGTTGTAGCCTCCAACTATTGACTTGTCCGGAGCAAATCTAACCATAACCTTATGATTTGTATCTAAAAACAACGAATATAAATATATATATATATATATATATATATATATATATATATATATATATATATATATTAATTAACTCATATAATATTTGTCATGTAATTGAAGACTACACTAGAGTAACTGCCACATCTAAAACTTGTATAGATAACATACTAACAAATATGCAATCATATGTGTCAGTAGAAGTCTTGCACGCTGGAATCTCTGATCATTCTGCCCAAAAATTAACTTTTCAGGTAGAGGAAGCAGAAACGAATACTCTTGAAATGAAGACATTTTAGTACAAATAATATTGAAACCTTTATAAGTAAATTACATAATCATGACTGGCTTAATTTAAGTTACAAATGTGTAAATGATCAATGGAATACTTTCTTAAATCAGTTTCTGTATATATTCAATCAGTGCTTTCCTTTTAAAAAGTTAGATTCTAGGCAACGTAAAAAGGCCTTAATAAAAGAGATGATCCAGAGATAATAGAATGTAAGACTCGTTTAGACATCTTGTTTACAATGAGCAGAGTTAACCATAAATTCTATGATTCCTATAGACAGGTAAAAAAAGAATATAATAAGAAACTAATAACAAAACGATCAAAGCTATATGAAATGTCTGAAGCTGTCAACAAAAATAAATGCATGTGGCAAATTGTTAGTGAAATTAATGGTCAATTAAAAAGTGTAAATTCAATAAAAGTAGAGGGTAGTCCTCAAGAGATTGCTGATAAATACATGATCCACTTAAATACTTCTTTAAATAACACTTTATCTCAATTACAATACACTGAATATAAAGATAACATTGCATGTAACATAAATTCAGTGTTTGTCGCACCTGTGCCAGAAACTGAAATTATGGATATAACTAAAAATTTAAAAAAACAAAATGAGTTGTGGAATTGATGAAATACCCACTAAAATCCTTAAACTTTGTATAAAGGAGATAGTGAATCCTCTCACTACAATCATAAATAATTCACTAAAATCTGGTGTATTTCCTGAATGCCTGAAAACTGCCATAGTAACACCTGTTTACAAAAAGAGTGATCCTAAATTAATTAATAACTATAGACCAATTAGCCTTCTATGTTCGTTTTCAAAATCTTAGAAATGACTATGTATAGGCGGTTAACAGAATTTTTAACAAAATGTCATATTATTAGTGCAAATCAGCATGGTTATCAACAGGGAAAATCAACTCGGACTGCGATTTTTCAATTTGTCTGGGATATTTTGAAATGTACTGAGATTGGTCATATGGCTTTGGGTCTCTTTTTGGACCTATCAAAGGCATATGACTGTTTAGTGCATGGCATATTATTTGATAAATTGGAGAAATATAGTATACATGGACCAGCATTGAACTGGTTCAAGTCCTACTTGGCAAATAGGAGACATTTAGTAAAAATACATAAAAACACTGAAATAGGCATCTCATCTGAAAGCACTATCAATATTGGAGTACCACAAGGAAGTGTGATTGGTCCTTTACTGTTTGTGATCTATATCAATGATCTTCATGGTCTAGTGGCTAATACTACTTCCAGCATAACAAATTATGCAGATGATACAAACATTTTAGTCAGTGGTAAAGACATGTCTGTTCTAAGTGTTAATGCTAGTTTAGAGTTCCAGAAAGCTAAAGACTGGTTTTCTATGAATAGGTTGGTTTTAAACATCGAGCAATAAGACAAAAGAGGGAATCTAATCGTTATAAAAAGGAGACCAAAAAAGTGGCCTCTGATGGCGGACACATCCGGAAATGCAAAGGCGCTAAATTTAAATTTTCCAACACTTGTTAACAATACCTGTAAAATATTTTTCAGACAAGAAAGTTTTAATTAAATATCAACGATAATAGTCTAAAAAGTGACATAATTGGTAAAAAACTTCAATATAAATAAAATTTCATGTGACAGTTGGGACAAACAATAACATAACCAAACTAAATTTGACTTCTTAAACAAGGAAAGAGACTGTCTTTCCTTGTCTAAAGTGGCCTCTCAAGATGGCACTTCCTGTCTATCAATATGTTTACCCCTTCTACCTTTACATTCCCTCTTTTGTCTTATTGCTCGATGGTTTTAAATCAAAATAAAACAGATCTTCTTTTGTTTAAGACAAATTATGCACATTCAGATATGCCAAACAGTATTATTGTAAATAATGACACTTTAAATATTAGCAGCAGTACCAAATTTTTAGGATTATATATTGACAGTTTTTATGTTGGGATAAACATGTTGACCAGTTATGTATGTCTTTGAGTAAAGTGATTTACAGCTTTAGAGTTCTAAAAAAATACATGAATAGTAACTCATTAAAAACAGTGTATCATGCTAATTTTTAAGCAAAATTTAGATATGTGTTGAGAATGTAATACATTTATATTGTATACACAGATATATTGGTGTAAGAGTAAGCGGAACGCACCCATAGTGTCATGGGTTGACATGACAGACAATAATAGTAATGTCAATGAGTATCATGTAGTTGTAGGTGGTAGTAAGAAGTATGGTGGCTTAAGTTAGGTTAGTTAATTAGTATGTATGTTATAGGAAATAAAGCCTTTTATAATAGTAGTAAAGTACGACTATTTATTTTCCAAATCCACACCTTAACATGGTAGCAGAGGTCCGTGGTTGGAAAGTCGTACCTTTTACAACAGAAAAAGTTTGGTGCAGTTTGAAAAAAAAGTGTGACACATGATGGCAGGTAGTAGTGATTTTAGAATACCTATATTCGATGGGGAGAATTATAAAATGTGGAAAAAACGTCTTATGCTATTTTTGAAAATGAAGAAGTGTGATGTTGTGGTAACCAGACCGAAAAATGAAAATGATGATACAAATTGGGATGACGATGATGTAAAAGCAATGAATTATATATGCGGTGCAATATCGGATCGACAGATGGAGTACATCGACGAAAAAACTACGGCGTATGAGATGATAAAGAAATTTGATAATTTATATTTGAAAGAATCAACGGCATTGCAGATAGTATGTAGAAATAACTTGGAAAGATTAAAATTGAACAACTATGGAGACTGTGCAACATTTTTTAGTGACTTCGAAAAAGCTATAAACGAGTTAAAAAGCGCGGGTGCTAGTGTGTCTGAAAAGGAAAAATTGAACTATATGTTAAACACGTTGCCAGAGTCGTACAGTTATATTGGTGATTTAATAGATACATTAAAAGAAGATGATCAAACTGCAGACTACGTAAAAACTAAGGTTATGATGTCCGAATTAAAAAAATCAAAACAATGATTTTGGAAGAAAATCCAGTACATTTGTGGTAAATAAAGGTCGACAGGATCGATCATGCTTCCAGTGTGGCGAAGTTGGTCATTTCAAGCGAGATTGCAAAAATGGCGCCAATCAAGCGTCGGGTAATGGCGGACAAACGACAAGCAGTAGAGGCTGGTGGAGAGAAACGCGAGGTCGACAAGAAGCCGGAAGAGGAAGCTACGTCAGAGGACGTGGCCACTCACGTGGACAGCGCGGAACGCATGGAACAAGTGCACAGCGGTTCAACCGACAAGGACAGAAGAACGAAGAGCGAAACAGTGCTTCTTGGCTTACAACAGTAGCTCTTGGTAAGGATATGTCAGTTATTGCACAAAATACTGAAATAGGTAATGTAAATAATTGTATTGAAATAAAATGGCTTTTAGATAGTGGTTGTACAGACCACATTATTAATGATGAAAAATTATTTGATAAATGTAAATTACTTAAAGATCCCATTAATGTTTATTTAGGAGATAATAGGGTTGTAAAAGCTACTAAAATTGGAAATGTTTTAAGTTACTTTGATGCTTTTGGTAAAAAGAGTTTAGTAGATATGCAAAATGTTTTCTATGTTAAAGATATGAAATCAAATTTGATAAGTTATAGCAAAATAACAGAAAATAATAAGATTATTTCTCTAGGTAATATTTCAAAAGTTTTTGATAAACTTGGTAATATAACAGCAGTTGCTTTAAAAAATAATGGCTTATATATTATGAAAAGTAAATTAAAATCAGTTGAATTGCATGTAAATGTTGCAAATAAAGATATGAATAATATGAATCAAAAGGAAAAATGGCATCGTTTATTAGGTCATGTAAATTTTAAATATTTGAATATTTTATCTAAAGATCAGCTGTTGAATGGAATTCCTAATGAGTTTGAATCTGAATTTATGAAATGTAAGATTTGTATTGAAAGTAAAATGCATAATATTCCGTTTGTAAACAGTAGAAAAAAAGCTAAAGATATTTTAGAGATTGTACATACTGATGTTTGTGGGCCTTTTCGAACTACTGGGTTTAAAGGTGAAAATTATTTTGTTTCTTTCATTGATGATTATAGTAAGATTTCTAAAGTATATGCTATAAAATCAAAAGCAGAAGTATGTGATTGTTTGAATGAATATACGAATGAAAGTGAAAATTTGACTGGAAAGAAAATAAAGATTTTAAGATGTGATAATGGGAAAGAATATTTGAACAGTAAAGTCTACAGATTTGCAAAAGAAAGGGGTATAGTAATTGATAATTGTCCTACATATGTACATGAATTGAATGGGACTGCAGAACGGTTTAATCGAACTATAATGGATATGTCAAGATGTTTGTTGGCTGAAGCAGATATTCATAAAAAATATTGGCCTGAAATAGTTTGTGCTGCGGTTTATTTGAAAAATCGTACTTTATCTGATACAATTGAAAAGAAAACTCCATATGAAATATTTTTTGGACAGAAACCTGATGTTTCTAATTTGCGTTTGTATGGAAGTAAAGTTTTTGTACGAAGACCAGAACAGAAGAGAATCTCTAAATGGGATAAGAAAGCTGATATGGGAATTTTAATTGGTTATAGTAATGTTGGTTATCGTGTATTATTAAATGGCAGAGTCATTGTTGCTAGACACGTGGATATTGTTGAAGAAAACGTTAAGTGTATAGGTTTAGACTTTAACGAATCAGATAATGATAATAATGAAGAGTGTTACCCTGATAAAATTGATGAAAGCTCTGAAAATGACTCAATAGATGAAACTTTTGAAAGTACAAATGAAAGTATGGATGATAGTGTGAATAAAAATGAACCTGAGTTACCTAGATCTCACAGAGCCAAAAATCCTCCAAAGAAATTTGATGATTACTATGTATATAATAGTAGTATTTTTGTAAATATGTGTAGAACTGATATACCACATACATTTGAGGAGGCGATAAATTCTAATGAAAGTAAGTATTGGAAAACAGCTATGGACAAAGAAATTGATAGTTTAAATAAAAGTAAAACTTGGAAATTGGTTAAAAATGATACAAACAAAAATATTCTGGATGTTAAATGGGTTTATACTAAAAAGTCTGATAATACTTATAAAGCTAGATTGGTTGTACGAGGTTTTCAACAAACTGATGAAATTGATGATATTTATTCACCTGTGGCTAAAATGCAAACATTAAAGATTTTATTGTCATATTGTTGTCAAATGGGCCTAGTAATTGAACAAATGGATGTTGAAACAGCCTTTTTAAATGGTAAAGTAATTTCTGAAGTTTATATTAAACAACCTAAGGGTTATGAAGATGGAACAAGTAAAGTTTGTAAATTAGTTAAAGCTTTATATGGTTTAAAAGAAAGTCCAAGGGCATGGTATGAGTGCCTAGATACATTTTTGATAAATTTAGGTTTTGAAAGAAGTAATATTGATCCTTGTTTGTACGTTTATAAAATTGGAAATGATATTATTTACTTATTAATTTATGTCGATGATTTATTGATTTGTGGTAGAAATTTAAATGAAATTAAAAGGATTAAAATTTTATTATCAGAACAATTTAAAATGAAAGATATTGGTGAAATTAAAGAATATCTTGGTATTACTGTTGATTATGATTCTAGTAAACATGAAATGAGATTGGATCAAAATAAATATATTGAATTATTAAGGAAAAAATATAATTTAGAAAAAGGTAAACTGTATAATACACCTATGGAAGTAAATTTAAAAATTGATAAATCTGATCATTGTGAAAGAAATATTAAATATAAAAATTTAATTGGTGCACTATTATACATAAGTTCGGCAACAAGGCCTGATATAAGTTTCAGCGTAAATTATCTGAGTAGATTTCAAAATTGCTATAATGAAACGCACTTTAAATATGCTGTACGAATTTTGAAATATTTATGCTTAACTAAAGATTTAAAATTGTTTTATAACAGAAATGAAAAAGTAAGTATTATTGATTGTTATGTGGATGCCGATTGGGCAGGTGATCATTTAGATAGAAAGTCTACAACTGGTTTTGTAATAAGATTGTTTGGTAATGTAATTTATTGGAAATCTAGAAAACAAAAAAAGCGTTACAAAAGCTTCAACTTTTGCAGAGTATGTAGCATTGTCAGAAGCAGTAAGTGAATTGATATTTGTAAAAGAATTGTTGAAAATATTTGATATTGAAATAATAAAGCCAATTGATGTTTATGAAGATAACACTGGTACAATTAGTATAGCTAATTATGGCAATTTTACAAAAAATTCTAAGCATGTTGAAATTCATTATCATTATGTAAATGATTATGTTAAAGCAAATGTTATAAATGTGGTTAAAGTAGATTCTGATGATAATATTGCAGATATTTTTACGAAGTCCTTGGGCCAAGATAAATTTGAAAAATTTCGAAGTATGTTAAATTTGAATTAATGTAAATACAATGTAAATGTAAGGAGGCGTGTTGAGAATGTAATACATTTATATTGTATACACAGATATATTGGTGTAAGAGTAAGCGGAACGCACCCATAGTGTCATGGGTTGACATGACAGACAATAATAGTAATGTCAATGAGTATCATGTAGTTGTAGGTGGTAGTAAGAAGTATGGTGGCTTAAGTTAGGTTAGTTAATTAGTATGTATGTTATAGGAAATAAAGCCTTTTATAATAGTAGTAAAGTACGACTATTTATTTTCCAAATCCACACCTTAACAATATGGTCTAATAAATTTTGGCCACAGTAGGGACATAAATACCTAATGTATTTCTGGTTCAGAAAAAAATAATCAGAGTTATGTTTGACTTAATAAGTAGGGAATCATGTAGAGGGCATTTTAGGAGTAATAATATTTTAACAGTTTACGCTGTATTTATTCAAGAATGCTTACTGTTTCTATATAAAAATAAAATACTCTTTAGGAATTTTGAGCCCAATAGTATAGTAAATACCAGGTTATATAATTATAAAATTCCAATACACAGGTTAAGTATAACAGAAAAAAACGCTCTTTATTGCTGCATCAAATTGTTTAATAAATTGTGCCTGAACTTATCAAAAGGGAGGAAAGATTAAGTTTGTATAAACATCAAATATTTAAATTACTGGTAGCTCTTGAGCCAATTCTGTGGAGGACTATTTGTATATGTAACGGTTAGGAATAAGTAAATAATTTTCGTTTGTGACACTGTTTTTTTTTAAATAATTTTATGTTCACGGAGTGTATATTATTTTCTAAAAATAAAGATATTGTTATGTTATGTTATATATAAAACTACTTTACTTACTCGGCATTAGCTGTATTACAGTGTCTGGTGTAATATTGTTGTTAGTAGTAAAAATGGAAAAATATTCATATTCACATAATAGTAGTACTCTAGTAAGAAATATATCATCTCTTCTTCTGTTTGTCGCCGTGCATTTAAAATCAAGTATATTTTCTCGTTCCGTCAATGATTCCAACGAAATCTAAAATATGAAAGAATGTGAAAAAGAAATTGATAAAGAAAGTCTAGCAGTTATTAAAAAAAAAATAATAGTGTTTGATTTTCAACAAGCTATTAACAGCTGTCGAGATATTACAGCATCACTGCAATTTTGGAGGATAAAATGGCTTCTTGTATAATTCTCAAAGAAATCAAATGAATAGAAGTCATACTTGACAAATTTTTTGAAGCCTTTGATGCCATTTGATGTATGATGTGTATATGACACTTAAAATTTTTACACTGTACATCTAATAACTTACTTTATAATAATATTTTCCATTATTAACATTGGTTATTAAAGGGGCGTTTCCAAGTGCAACAGTGACTTCTACACCATGACGATTTCTTACCAATGACCTCCTAAAAATCGAAATATTTATTTTATTAAAACGATACAATACTTTTTGGAAAAGTATTTACTAAATATTTTACATGTTTTGTTGTATTATTTTTAATATTTTTAACAGATCAACTTATTTAAAAGCTAATTTCGTGTTTTTTATCAACTCAGAACCACTTGTCATTAATTGCTGTAAAATGTTTGAGGGAATGGCTTTTAAAAGATCAACTTCTTAAGAATTTATTCGATTTCTTAAGAAGGTTGTTGTGAATAAGCTATAAAGGATGATGATTACTAGAAACATGTTACAAATACAGCCTGAAGCTAAATTGCACTAAGATGAAAATAATGATCATTAGTAAGAATACCAACAAAAATTGCCAAATTACAATAAATGATTGTGCCTGTCAGTTCTGAGCATTGGATTCAATCATCAATCAATCATCTCTGGTTTCAAAATTGTCAAAACATATAAATTAAGTTATTTGTTTGAACCTATCTCTGCACATTTTGGCGCCCCACATTGGGTAATTAGGTCAAGTTTTTGGTAGTTATTCATACAAAAATTATGCAAAATATATAAACATCCATTCCTTACCTATCATTATGCCATTGCCTTAACAAATAATTGAGCCTGTGTCTAAGGGATGTATTGTGCATAGTATCATTTTCATCATGCTCTACCGTACATACGGGGCATACCTAAAAAAGAGACAATTATTCATAAGCATAATATATTTTACCATATTTTATATGATGTCATCAATATGTTAGTTCCTATCAAATGGTTTAAATCATTAAACTTTCCAGTTTGGTGTTCGCGAGAATTAATTGAGCTTGCCATACAGAAAAAATAGCTCACAAGAATTTTAAAGCATCAGGCAACTCATATTAGTAATTTTCAGTGTTAAGGTAAAGATTTCAATCATTACAAGCAGTATGTTATAAGAACTATTTATAGAATATTCAAGCAAATATTTCAAGTAATTACAGCTCTTTTGGAGGTATGTTAGTGCTACATGTGGGTCTAGTGCTTATCCTAATGCAATTTCTAATAAAGGTGGGGATGTAATAGCTCAGAATGGTGATGAAATAGTTATTTTTCAGGTACATATAATGATCGTGAGTATAATTTACCTAATTTTGAATTGGGATATAGTGTGGATTTCCAGGTTCTGATATTTAGTCTGACTAATGTTTTCGAGAGGATTATGAGTTTAAAAACTACATCTTCTTCAGGGCCTGATGGTATACCTGCAGCACTTATTAAGAACTGTATTTTTTCTCTTTGCAAACCTTTATAACAAATTTTTAATTTATCATTTTCATCATCTGCATTTCCACAATATTGGAAAAATAGTTTTCTTAGACCTATCTATAAATCTGGCAATCATAAGTGTGTTAACAATTATAGAATTATAAATATTCGATCAGCAATCCCGAAACTTCACCTGAGCTTGCAGAAACATAATTATTGATGAACAACATGGATTTTCTAACAGAAAGTCAACAGTAACAAACCTTGTCAATTAACAACAATACTTGCTAGGTGCATTTGGGAAAAAATTCAGGTCGACAACATTTACACTGATTTCTCAAAGGCCTTTGACCAGGTTAAGCATAACCTTTTGGTCCACAAACTTCATGCATCTGGCTTTGATGACCCCATTGTTAATTGGATAAGAAGTTTTAGTTCAGCAAGTTCATATTAAAAATTATATTTCAAAAGAATTCCATTGTTGTTTTGGTGTTCCTCAAGGGTCTCATTGTGGTCCCTTGTTTTTTAACTTGTTCATTAACAATGTTGGTAAGGCTATCAAAAACTCACACTTTCTGCTATTTGCTGATGATTTTAAGTTATTTCGTTGTATACATGATAAATCGGATAAAGATATCTTGCAAGATGATGTAAATAATATGTCTTTATGATCAAAACAAAATGGTTTAAGCTTAAATCCAACTAAATGTTTTTATATTTCATTTGGTAGTATAAATAATCTAATAGCTAATAGATATGTTCTTAATGATATACTCTTGGATTCAGTTACTGAGAAGATTTGGGTGTATTATTGGATTGTGCATTGATATTTAGAAGCCATAAAGAACTGCAGGTTGAGAGCTGTTATGTTTGTTTAAAATTATAAACAATGTTATTAATTGTCCCTTGTTATTAGCCAATGTGTACCTAAACACAATACACAAAACTCTACACACTGCACTCTTTTATATTCCTGTTCATAGGACTGATTATGCTTGTCATTTTCCCTTGTCGAGAATGCTCGCTCTTGCAATGACCTGTTGGATCCATTCTGTCCAAACATTAATGTTTTTAAAATGCAACTAAAGAGCCTAATTATTAATCTAAATAAGTGATATAAATTTCATCTCCGTAAACATGGTTCCGGCTTATTACACTAAACCCTGTCTACCCAACAGACGGAGTTATCACGTGAATACCATGTAAACTCATGAAATATTATAATCATTCCTACAAACTGTCAAACTAGTCAGAATTCGTGGCAAACAGTTGGTCAGTGAGAGAACAATAATACTGTCATTAGTGCTATCCTCCTTACTGCGCTGGTCGACTATTCGTTCATAGTTTTGGACGGTTCGGCCACTTGTTGGGAAGAAACTTATTATACGAATACGTTCGCATTGAACCAGTGACGTACCAGAAAAATAAAATAAAAAGTTATTATACAGACAAAAATTAAAATAAACGATTTTATAACAACATGTTATGTACATTGTAATGAAAAAAAAAAACCGTAAATTTCAATAGGATGATTTGGGAGCGTTATAAAAGCTTGAGATACCGCTAAAATGTAAATAACGCAAGCTTGACTGTACGGTAAATATATATAGTGTTAATTTTAAACAATTTCTAGCATTTGGCGTAGAAGTGCACAATACAATTTTAAAATATAACTTTAAAATATAACCTCAATCTGACACTATAACTTAAAAATTTTTAATGCAATACAAAAATAATAGAAGTTCCTTAAAAAGTAAACAATAAAACCTGGAAGTGTCTTTAACAAATGGGGAGAAATGGCAATCAAAATACTATAGGCTAACTTTAGGCAATGTGGACATTATACACATGTAAACTTAAATGTGTACATAATGGTAGCTTATCCCACTGATGCTTTAAAGTGTGCACCAGGTCTTACGTGATAGGTCAAATTCAGGAGGTGTCCCCGTGATGAAAGGTATAACTGTATTTGGTTCAGGTTCCGACCATTCATAGATTCATTTGGTGGTCATGTTGAACTCGGTAGCTGCAGCTAATTCTGCGGTTTGTATTGGAGATTTTCCGGAGGGCAGTCGACCTTGGTTTGCATCTTTTATATAGTTGTGAATCGGCAGCGCCGTGTTGCTAAGGATCTTGTTATATACTTTGGTCAGCAGATTGAGTCGGCGAAGGTGTAATAGTGTAATGTCGCTCAGCATTGGTACTAAATGGGTTGGTGTAGGTTTGGGTGAGCTGGATATCAATCCTTTGAACATCAGTACTGTTGATCCATATTTGTATGCAATATTCAGCTAGAGAATAAACAATAGCTAAGCCTGAGTCTAGATACCGATGCCTCCATTTTGTGCCGCAGAGCTTCTGATATATGTTATTTTTGGTTTTTAGCTTCTTAGCAACTATACTTAAATGTTCTCTAAAGCTTTCCGTTCTGTCCAAAACTACGTCTAGGTATTTTGGATGTTTATTGTGGTTGAGTCATGTGTTATCAAAAGAACGTTAAGTAGTGTTCTTGACTCCAGATTGTTGTTTAGGCAAGAGTAAGTTACTTCAGTTTTAGAGTCATTGGGGCGAAGTCTCCATTTTTGAAAGTAATGTCCTATAATCGCTAGGTCTTCCGTCAGAATCTCTTCAGCTTCTTTTGTGATTTTGTTGGTGTTAATAAAGCCCAGTCATCAGCATAGCTAAACTTTGTTGATGTTATCGGTATGTCTGCGATATAAAGGCTATAAAACAATATTCCGAGTAACGAGCCTTGCGGTAGACTATTTTTGAGTTTTCTGGGGGTGCTTATTTCGAATCCCATAGTTACTTGAAATACTTTGACGGTGATGTTCTATTAGTCTAGCGGTGAATTTGCAAGGCAGAGTACGTAAGAGTCTATAAATCATACCTTCTGGTCAGACTGTGCTGAAAGCTGCAGATCATTGGGCTGATTCTTTTAAACATTAATCTTTCAAGTAGTTTATACTATAAGATTTATATTATAAGAAATTGGTCGATAGTTTTTTGGGTGATCAACTGGTTTTTTTGGTTTTAGTATTGCTATGAATTTTGAACGTTTAAATTCCCGTGGGATTCTGAATGCAATTGAGTATGCATTCGGGGTGGATGCCGTCGAAACCTAGGTCTTTTTCCGGTGAAACGTCTTTAAGTGCGATCTCCATTTCTTCACTTGTCAAAGGGCAAGAATGTTTGGTCTCAATTGATTGCGATTTTAAGGAATTTTATTCGCTGTCGGAAGTGGAAGTTTCGGAATCATCATTAAGATTAATAATTAATGGTTCGACGGTGATTTACATTATTCTATCAGTTTCCCACATTTTTGATTCCTCTTTTTTAACGTGCTCAATTGCCTTCTGCCAATTATGTGCTGTTACATTTTGCACTGCTTCATAAAAACACTGTTTGACATCAGCAGTTTTAAAAGAGGTGTTGTTTCTTGCCACTTCTTCCTTGAATTGGGCCCAGATCAACTCAATTGGGTTAAACTCACAATGATAAGGTGGCAAACATAAAACATAATGTTCTTTTCTTGCAGCCATTTCGTCTGTAACATATCGGTCAGCTGGTTTATTGGCCTTTACTAATGTTAGCAATTCGGCTTTAACCATATCTTCCGTAAAGGCTATGCCATGTCTATTCAACCATGCTTGTATTTCTGCCTTTTTTGTAGCTGATGTAGGGGATTTATCAATACGTCTCCTGTGGTACGAAGGCGTTGAACCAGTTTTCGAACACCTCAGCATTCATATCTGCATGGTAATCGCCATCCTTTTTTGATTCAAAGACCAACAAACCATTATTTGCTACAAATCCATCCTCTGATCCAATATGTAATATAATTAGACGTTTACCTTTACCAGAGCGAGATTTTAACCCAGTTGACAGACCCTCCAAAAAGGCTTGTCTGGGATTTTTAATATTTTCATTAACCCATATTTTGCTAGTAGTTTGACCTGCATTTACCCAGGTTTCGTCTAGATAATAAATCTTCCGCCCTTCCTCTCTCAACTTTTTGATTTCGCGTAGATACTTACGTCTCCAGGAGATTATTTCATCTTTTTCTGTTAAGATGCTATTCTTTTTTCTGGTTATAAAACTAAAACAAAAAACTTTATGTAATTGATATTGTAATTCATTTGTAACACATTTTTACTTACTGAAAGTTAATTTCCTTAACCAATTTAGCAAATGTTGCTCGTTTGAAATTTGGAAAATTGTCGTCGTTATTAATTTCAGTCAACATTTTATTTAGTGTTGGAAGTTCATTTCTAAAAAAAATTCATGAATTTTCCTCCGAATTGATGTTTTAGTAGCATCTGAAATATTATCTAATATTTTTCTTGTCCTATGATATTTTTTTGGAGGAGAAAAAACACGAGTTTGTCTATATTCCGCCAACACTTTAAAAACTGTGCTCACTGCTACCCCTAGAACAAATACGTAATAAAGAATAACAATATATGAAATAGTATATATGAAAATAACTACAATATAATAAAAAAAAAAATAAAAAAACTTAACATCTTACCCGCTGCACTTGAAACAAAATTCACAGATTTTGTCTGATTCGTGTTTGGACGAGTTTGTCTATCAGTTTTAAAAATATTTAAAATTGTTTCTTTCTCTGACACCGATAAATATGTTCGTCTTCGTTTTCTGGGTGGAGATTCTGGAACGAATTGTTCAACTTGCGCATTATTTTGCTCTTTTGGTTATCCATATCTAAAATAAGGCAGTGATATAGATATTTATTTTACAAATTATTTTTACGCTTTGACTAACTTGTTTTTTAATATATATTCTCAGGTTCAGAAATAATTTATACATTTTTATACTGCGTGATTACATCCACAATAGTTTTTTGACCAATATCTGTATTAGTATATGTACTTACCTAATTTCTTTACAAAACACAAAAATGTACAATACACAATATAAGTCTTAACATATAAAATAAATACAATTAACACAATAACACAATACACAGCACAATATTTCTTCAAAATACCTTAACGTACGCCCTTGTATGCAATACCGATAACTGACCGATACAACTTCTGCGAAGTAAGTAATTTGACTGTCGCTTTTCAACAATCACGTGCAGATCACGCATTTTTATTACTCCGTCTGTTCGGTAGACGAATTATAGTACCCAAATTTTTACTGTTAAATTGTTTCTTTGCTATTGTTTTGATGTTTATTGTACATAATCTGTACTTTTTACTATTTGTTTTATTTTATTGTGAATGGTTCTATCGTTTAAATAAATATTCTACATAAAAAGTTGATCTAAAAGATCATTAAGTTATAAATGTATCAAATTAAGAATTTACAAAACTGAGTAATGATTAAAAAAGCTTTGAGAGAATTTGGCATATTTACAAATTACAGAAAATAATAGACAATTAAACAACTCCAGACTAAACACATGAGTCATTTATAGAAAAGCTCATATCAACACAAATTGATAATACCACTATCTAAATCTACAAAAACAATATTAATCATAAATAAGATAACCAATATTGGAAATATGAAGATAAGGAATGCAAATATCAAACCTTTATTGTTATAATGAATACAAAATATTAAAATAGATATGTACATATTAGGGACAAAAAAATATTAAAATAAAATATGACAATTATAAAAATGCACAAATAATACTGATTCTTAAAAATACATAGATGGCTATACCAGGCTATACCTTGTTTGTAAATTGTTTATTATTCTGTGGCTATACTAATAAAATATGAATATAACCATTGATATAATACACTATAATGTAATCAGTAAAAATATAAAACATTTGGAAGACCTGTAGTTATTTATACGCCTTATGTTAATTGTTTTATTTTACTGAATTGAAATTGTACTAAAATTTTTTTTACTAAAATTGCTGACCACATATTTTATTTAATTATTAGTAAATAAAAATTTTTGTTACTTCTCGTTTATATATTCAATAATTTGTATTAGAATTGTATTAATAATATATATTCTAATAATCTAATAATCATTTTAAAAATACATATAAAGAATTTCGGGGACTTACCCGCTGTCTTCTTGGCGCGGCCATTATGATGAATAATCACTGACACCGATAAAGAACTGATATATACTCCTACAGCAACGTTTATCAACCTGTAATTATGATAAAATGATTAACAAAGGTTTGACTCAACGGTTTTATCAAAAAATATTGCACTATTGCACTCTACAACTTCCAAAACAAAACTGCAATGTAGTAACCTTGAATTTGACTTGTGTACACGGAAATTAAACAGAAATATGGGAAGTTCCTAAATAAATATATGTTGAGATTTTTCTATTTATACGGTTTTAATAGATAATACAATAATCACCTCCAAAACATTCATTAAAACCTAAAACTATCACTAAACTACAACTAAACTATTATAAACAGAACTATAACCTATATGATACAAACAAATCCTTCACATTCAAATCAATCTCTGAATAATAAAAAACGATGGTCAAAAAATCAAGAACTGACAACGATGCTTCGGAAACTATTTCCGACAACACATTGGCGACGAAAAAGGATTTGTCAGACTAAAAATGTATAACTAGTAAAAAGCTGTAAAAAATGGAATTCTTGGATATAGATAAGTAATACAATATTAGAAAGTTAATGTTCTTAGCGAGTACTCAATAAGTAAATACCCTTAAATGTTTCGTTGTTTTTATGACCGTACGGTGATACTATAAAGAAGGCTAATTTAAATCCAGAATATTTTTTTGCTATTCTTTAATAATGTAGAGCAGTATTTTTCAAACTTCCTGTCGTAAGCTAGGTAAAAGCAAAAAAGTAAGATTCATAGGTCCTCCTCTCATAGGTAACTCCTCATGTAATATCATGAAGGCTCCCCTTGTTTAAACTGTAATATTCTTTTCAAATTTATTTTTTGTTTAACATGCAAATAGTTTAAATTATTTTTCATTTAATACTAATTGCTATTCTTAGTTTTCTATTTTACGTTTCTACTTAAGCGTTCTATCAGCCGCCAAATCTATATATAATTTTATTTTAGCTTCGTTGACAGACTAGCCTGTTGTACTGACTTACAGCGATTTCTATAAAAGACAGCATCTCACGGGATGCAAACTGTACCAGTAGATATTGTGTGATTTAGGCACATTACGCATTTTACCTATGTTCATTTATCGCGAGGACATTGTTCTTTAGACATTCTGATCATTAAAAATAAAGAAATGTTAGTGACGTTCCACCTGGTACTGCAATGCGCACCCGGTGCCTAATTATTTATGCTAATTCTAAATATTCAATATGCGTATTTTTTATAAAACCACGACTTTCTTGTGTTATAGCGAATTGTTTCTTATTTTGTCGTAATACCATATGAAAATTAAACAATGTTGCAGGCTGTCACTGGTGGATATACACCTGGGTGGACCTCGTTAGTCGTTGTGGCAGGCAGAATTAGTTAATGTCAAGTGTCAGTTTAAAATTTTTTGTTTTGTATTCATTTCATTTTCACTCCATTCATTTCATACTTTTCTCATAAATAACTAAAAAATACTAAAAATGAATAATACAGAAGTACATGATACAGTGCAAGCGGCTAATATATACCTTAGCCGATTAAAATATTTAAATAGCGAATTGGACCACGCAATGAAACAAATTCTAAGTACATTTGAAGAAACAGAAGCCAATGTCAGCAAAACTTTTTGTAACTTTAAAGAAGTTTTTATTGAAGCCCTTAATAAAAGAGAAAAGTTCCTCTTGGACAAAGCCAAAAAGGTATTTTACATTTTATTACTTCTATATTTTGATCATCAAGACAAATTATACATCAACATCATTTCAGACAAAAATTGAAGCCCTGGCTCCTCTAAGAGAATGCCGCAGTATGATTTTAGATAAAATTGAATCTACAGTTAAATTAATTAATACGGGCTCTGCAATAATTAGCTCGGAATTTAAAAACATTGAAATATTTTCAAAAAATGCAAGCTTATTGGGAACTCTTCCTGAAGTTCCGGAGCTGAAAGAAGTGCCTTATATAAGTTTTAGTTATGAACCATCCCTAGAAATTGAAATAGTGGATAAATTGTCAGAGCTAGGAGATATTTATAAGATTCCTCCAGTACAGGTATGTTTTCAGATTTAAAATTTCACAAGTGGTTAACCAGGGCTATATGGTTTTAAATTAAGCATTGGCAATTTCATAAAAACATTCATCTTATATAGACTTAGAAATTAAGATTGTTATGTTAATGTAACTAATCAAACGATAATCTTAGGACCAGGTTCAAATATGTACAGTTCAGCCATAATGTTAAGGTCAGTGGTCAGTGTAGGTATTTGGAACCAGGGATGATTGAAAACACTACTCCCGACGGCTAGAAATAAAATATGGCAACAATGTCACATATACAGAATTGCAATTCCATCTTTGCTTATTCTCTGATCTGAAATGACATTCAGTTGTTTACAGGCCAAGTGAATCCCCATTTTGTGCAACTTAGATTTGATTGTTTTTAAACACATACATCTATTTATAACAGTGCCAATATTTTACAAATTTCATCTCTCTGTATTAGTGATTATATAATTTATAGCTACTATGAGAATTCTTATATTGCCGAAAATGTTAATTTGAAGGTTATTTACTACAAGAAGTAAGTACATTAGGTGTTTACAATTACCCCCTTAAATATTAAGCATTGGGTAAATAAAAACATCTGTTTGGGGTAAACGGAAACAATGTGGGAAATCAATTTTTTCTGTTAAGGGAGTTATTTTGTTACAGGTCTTGCCATTTTTAAAATGCTAAGGAAGTACATAAGAAAGAGAGAACCACTAAAATACTCTTTGAATTATTCCACACAGTTACTACAGCATTCCACAGTGCGTTATTTACAATCCCATAAAGGGTAGAAACATACCAATTGATAAGATGGGAGTTGGTGTGTCTACTGCATTGTCAGACAAAATTGAAAACCATATTGTGACATGTTTAAATGTGGGCTATCCTTGCGATAAACAAGAGTTACTAAATGTAGTTGGTGAATGCATTAAAGATAATTGCCTAAAAACTCACTTCAAAGATGACATCTCTAATGAAGATCGGTATCTTACATTTATGAAACACCATCCTTCACTTTCGCTAAAGAAACCTGAGCATATTCAAAAACTTAGAAAAGATGCTCGAAACCCAGAAATTAGTTATGATTTCTATTATAAACTAAAAGAAGTTTTTCAAAATAATGACCTTAATGACATCGGTAAATTCATGTTTGTATTTAATGCTGACGAGAGTGAATTTAATAGTGATCTCTCCAGAATTAGAGCTTCTGGTGGTTCTGGATGGGAGTCCAAGACAGTGCTCACATGTGTTTCAGCAGATGGAAAATATTTAACACCGCTCATCGTTTTTAAGGGTGCTGCTGTCCAAGCAAGATGGGTATCACCAGAGGAACTCTTTACCCTTCTAGCAAGAATGGTTGGATGGAGGAACCTCAATTTTAACATTGGTTTTTTAATGGATTTGTACCACATGTGCAAACAATTCGAGAGATACAGAATTTACCAATATGGGTAAATTGACATGGGAATATGACATAGATGTCTACAATCTCTTTGTAGATTTCAAGCAAGCCTATGATTCAATAGATAGAACAATACTACCTAATATATTACAAGAATTTGGCATACCATCAAAATTAATAAGACTAGTGCAAATGACAATGACAGAAACAGAAGCACATGTATGTATTCAAGGACAGATCACTGATGCGTTTATGACAACGCAAGGACTGAAACAAGGTGACGGACTGGCTCCAACACTTTTTAATCTTGTTCTTGAATATGTAATTAGACGGTTGACGGTGAGCAGAAATAACATACTTACAAACAAATCTACCCAATTAGCAGCATACGCAGATGACATAAACATAATGAGCAGAACAAAGACTGCGACAGAAGAAACCTACGTTCAGTTGAAACAGAGTTCAGAAGTTGTAGGGCTAACAATAAATACAAATAAAACAAAACCACTCATACAAACCAGATCAAATAGACAGGCGCAACAACAACAATTTATAGACGATATAGAATATGTGAATAGATTCACGTATTTAGGAATGGATCTGGTCGAAAATAATGAAGAAGAACCGGAAATAAATAGAAGGCTTATGCTGGCAAACAAAGCCTATTTCGCGATGGGCCACATTCAAATCGCGAGACGTACACCGGAAAACAAAACTCCGGGTATATAAAACAATAATCCGACCCATAGTAAGTTATGGGTGTGAAACATGGGTTATAACACAGAAATCTACCAATGCATTAGACATGTTCGAAAGAAAAATATTGCGTAGAATACTGGGTCCAATAAAGGAAAATAACAACTGGCGAATTAGATATAATAACGAAATATATGAACAATACACTGAACCAACACTAGCACAATACACTAGACTGCAGAGATTACGATGGGCAGGGCATGTGGCCCGCATGCATGAGAACAGAATCCCCAGAAAATTACTAAACGCAAGAATGCAAGGAAAAAGACCTGTTGGAAGACCAAAAAAGAGATGGGAAGACGAGGTAGATGAGGATGCCAAAAATCTCCTAAAAACGCGTTCATGGAAAAGAACAACAGTAAATAGAGATGTTTGGAGAGGTTTAATGAAGGAGGCCAAGGCCCGGCTTGGGCTGTAGTGCCATTGGATGGATGGAGAATTTACCAAATCAAAAAGCTGTACTCTTATATGATGGCCACCAAAGTCATATAAGTATTCAAATAATTGAACAAGCGTTAAAACATAACATTGACCTTATTAAGTTTCCCAGTCATTTAACAGACAAATTGCAACCACTTGATAAGTGTGTTTTCAAATCAGTTAAATATACATGGGATCGAAAGTTAGTAGCATATGGAAAGAAGAGAATGGGGAAAAGTACTGGGTGTTTATACAAGGACAAATTCATAGAACTTCTAAGTGAAACTTGACAGGAGGCTATGCTCTCACAAAATATTATATCTGGTTTTGAGATTATTGGTGTGTATCCTGTTAATAGGAATTTAATTTAGAGCAGCTTCAGTTTTATAAATTAAAAATACTCTTCTCCCAGACTTCTGGTGAAAATACTTTAGATGGGAATAAGGAAAATACTAGTGGATTTATTAACAAATAAATGAAGCTGAACCGTCATCATCCAAACACCAAAAATCTGTAGCTAAATCTGCAACATCAATTGCAGAATTAGATATGTCTAGTTTTATTTCTCCAACCAAAGACAAACTGGACCTATATTTTATGTGGAGTCAACAAGAATAACAAGAAAACTTGATTCTGACACAGTTACAGAAATTACTCCCAGAGAGAAAAAGATAATCCCTCTGCTAAAACAGTTGGTTATAAAGCACAAAGGAAATGGAAAAAGAAATAAAGTTCGAAAAATTGCTGATTCTCTTGAAACTCCAGTACCAAGCAAAAATACAAATACAAAGAAACGTAAAGAGTCATTGTCATCATCTGATGCAAGTGAAACAGAAGTACCTTATGCTGAGACTGATGACAGTTCATGGCATGAACCAGTAGAAGAAGAGCTAGAACAACTAGAGGCCGCAGAAAACCACAAACTCCAGCAGGGGAAATTTATATTGGTAAATTCAAGGCTGACAACATCTTACAGATATCTTTGTATGATTGAAGATATTGATTGGGATGAAAATGAAATTAAGGTTATGTAAAACTAATACTAAAATGTATGAATGGTACCTATAAGCAATTTGCCGTACAGGAAACTCACATTAGTTTCGTTAACTTCCAAAGGATTATTGATATAGTCCCTGAGCCAAATATTTTTATAAAAGGGGAAAGAATGTTTTACAAGTTTCCTAATAAGTTAGATATTTTTGAATGTCAGTAAATAAGTGAATATTTATCATTTTAAAAATTCTTTTGTATATCTATGTATTTTATTTTGATAATATATTTTTTTAAGTTTCATTTAAACATTGGCATGTTTAATGGAACCAACTTGAACGATTTTTAGATTACAAACCATGTATCATTTTACTCCAGTTTTGTTTAGATTATGTTTAACAGAATCATAAATCGTTGTATACATTTACTCCTTTTTTTAGTTTTTTTTCTTAAAATTTGTGGGGTAAATGGAAACATTGAATACCTTCTTTTTTGTGAGTTTTTCTTACTAGTTTTTAAGACATTCTACGGCAAACTTTTTGTATAATAGCCAAAAACTTTTATTGTATTAAAATATGAAACAGTATGTTTTTAAATAAATTTCAAGTGCTTAGACATAATGAGATTTCAAATAGTGTTTCCAATTGCCCTGACTGACTATATAATTACCACCAAGTGTAGTAATGATTACAAATATATTCCAAAAATTACCTGAAGATACTATAGAAATAACAAAAATCGAATTTTTTCAAATTAAAACTAAAACTTTTGAATGTCTTTGGTCATTTTGTTGTTGGTTGTTTATTGTTTTTAAAGAGAGATTAGAAGGGAAAGTTGCTGCTGCTGCTGCAAAAAAACATTTTTTGTAATAAATAACTTTGGTGAAAAACTTTCTACATACACCAAACCTGGTGTGAAAGTTTTCAATCCATCTGTCCTGCCTGTACTCACAAATAGTTCAGAAACCCAAACCCTGACAAAAAACTACATTCATTAAATCATATTACACTCACAATATACAAAAAGGACAGTAACAATTCATCAATTAAAATATTCCTACTAGAATTATAGTTTATTCGACTTCCGGGTTTGGACCGTGTCATTTGTGAGTGACCCAAAAGTGGGTTCATCTCGACGTTTCGCTACAATTGTATGTAGCTTCTTCAGGAGAACAAAGAAAAAGAAATCAAAAGACAGGAAGATGGGTAGTTAGCAACGGTAACTCAGTTACTCAACGCAACCAGAGGCGAATACTAACTACCAAGATGGGCATTTGGTCACAGTAACTCAACTACTTAACGCAGCCAGAGGTGAAAACCAAATGCCAGGACAGGGATTCACGTCCAACAGCTCAGAACACTAACGCGTCGAGAGGCGGGGAGTGAATCCGACGATTACTCCGCTACCGCTCTATTTATAGTCGCGGTGACCTGTCGTGTCGGGACGTATCGGCACACTTCGTGGCGCGAACGTCAAGAAGCGCGCGCTGGCCAATCATGTGGCTGCATAGTGGTAGCGGGACCGGACGGCGGCTCTAGACTGAGATTCCAGATGGGAGACAAGTAGTATCCTTCCTCTCGATTGATATTATGTGGATTTTTTCGGATCTCTAGAGATTCGCTGATTTTCCTGGAATAAAAGAAGGAGCTCTTAGAAATAATATGGGTTTTTTCGAACAATATGGAATGACCGGTTTCTTGGCAGTGTTCTGCAACTGCAGAATGGGAGAAAAGACCTGATCGAATGCATCTTTGATGCTCTTGAATCCGAGTTTTGACGGAACGACCAGTTTCGCCAATATACACATGTCCACATGAACAAGGAATAGAATAGACACCACAGGAAGATAGGGGCGGTAATGGGTCCTTAGGAGAGGGTAGATATTGTGAGATTTTCTTGGGTGGTCGAAAAGTAGTCCTGATACCTTCTTTGCGAAGAATTTTGCCAATCCTATCAGTGACACTTCGAATATACGGAAGAAAAGCCACAGGAGTATTACCCGAAGATTCTGAATTTGTCGTCCTAGGGTGTAAAGGGGGATGTAGATGTCGGTGTGTAATATTTTGAATTGTGGACTTGGAGTAACCGTTGGCGACAAGGGTTTTTTGCAGATGGCCAAGTTCTTCTCTAAGGTTGTCAGGTTAAGAAATCGAAATGGCCCGATGGATGAGAGAGTTGATCACAGAATTCTTTTGGACAGGATGGTGGTGTGATGAAGCATGTAGGTAACGATTCGTGTGAGTCTTTTTTCTATAAACAGAGTGACCCAATCGGCCATTGGGCTTGGAGGTGACTAACACATCGAGAAAGGGAAGGGACCGATTATTTTCTACTTCCATTGTGAATTTTATACTCGGATGTTGTGAGTTAAGATGATCTAGGAAGGGAGAGAGGGTATGTTGACCATGGGGCCAGATGATAAATGTATCATCAACGTAGAGGAACCAGACTTTTGGTTTTAAGGGGTAAGATTCTAGGGCTAAAGACTCAAAGGCTTCCATGAAAATGTCAGCAATGACAGGGGAAAGGGGAGAACCCATTGGTGTTCCAGATATTTGTTTGTAGAAATTGCCTCTAAAAGAAAAATATGTTGAAAGGAGGCATTTTTCCGCAAGACAGTTTTTGATAGTCACCTTCATTCTCAATTTTCAAATATAATTTTAAATCTTCAGCAAACATTAGGATAAAAGCAAAGAAAAAATGGGAGGCAATGTCATTAACATAGATATTGAATAGAAGAGGTCCTAGGTGTGATTCACGTCCACACTATTATTGAAAATCATTATTATTCCTGTATCAAACTATTATCTTTACCGTCACTCAAGAACCGTCGTGATATGTCAGGAGCTATATTTATATACAGTGTAGGTAAAATTTTAAGGTCGGTATGGTAAAATTTAACAGGATATCTAACGCAGATATAAAATCATATTTTCAACGAATTAGACAAAGATAACAATCATATTTCCCCTTCGTCTCCCCTCCTAAAATCCTTTTAACACTCATTGGCCATTGCCCATTAGTGAGACGATTAGTTCTGATCAGATATTCTCTGGTTCCGATCCTAATATACCTAAAAAACTAGAGGTGGGTCTTCTCGTTTTTTTTAATTTTTAGCGGAACCGTTTTTCGTAAACTGTAACTAGTTGATTGTTTACCAGTATTCAAATTAGCGAGTACACAAACATATTAGCTATTATCGTTTATGTGTATAAGTATTGAAATAAAAGAACCTAACGAAGGATATATTTATTGTAACTTGAAAAATAAATTAAATAATACAAATGGTACTTAAATAGTTACATTTACATTACACATTATTAAATCGCGAATCGTCTAAATTGACATTTAAAAACATAAGTTTTTCCACTTTTCTTGTTAATCGCGTTCTTCTTTTATTTAAAATTATACCAGATGTTAAACATGTGTTCACAAGGAAAAGATTTTGTTACAATACTACAACATTTTATGAATATAGTGGTTAAGTTACGATATACATGGCGATGGTTTTTTCACCACGGTAATGGACAGTTCCAATCTCCGTTCGAAATTGTTTGTGGGTAATATATCATCAGACAATTACATGTCGACTTCTCTTATACCTCTCGATATAGGTGTATGTTTAGATGAGTCATGTCCAATTAATTCATCAAAAATACACCATGGACTTAAGTCATCTTTATCAGTTTCTTTTTCTTGGACTGATTGATTTTCAAGATTTACTAAACTTTTCGTTTCATCCGTTTTCCATAGTTAAAGAACCAGCTTTTAAAAAGTTTGCAGGGTGGACTCCTGGATATAAACCGCCAACAAGAAAAACTTTGTCAGGTTCATTACTTCAGGAATGTTATGTCAAAAGTGAGCAAATTATTAGATCGCAAGTTGTTAAAGAAGTAGAAAATATCTGTATTACTACTGACCTCTGGACATCTGGAGTAACTGAGAGTTACTTCGCATTAACAGGACAATATTTAACCGAAAATTTAGTATCCAAAACTTTTTTATTAGGCTGCTACCATTTTTCTGGAAACCATAATCCAGAAAACAGCGATTACTGAAATTATTAATCAGTCGGGTCTAAAACGAAAAGTAAATTTTGCAGTAACTGATAATTCCTAAAATATGGTCAAAGCTATTAAATATGTTTTGTTTTATGATGATTGTGATTTATGATGATGATTAAATTTATTGGTGGAGGACGCACTTAAATGCTGTCGTGTACAAATAGATAAAATAAAAAGTCCTTTTTTCGACAATTCTGCAAAAAAACACATTTCAAAAAAGTACCTTATCTTCAGAAAGGCTTTTAAAGTATTAATTACAACAGAACACAGTTCCCAAACGGCCAATCCAAGACGTGGAAACTAGGTAGAACTTCACCTATTACATGTTAAAAAGAATGACCGAGTTAGAAGAGGCAACCCGTTCCACATTGGTATTAAATAATACAGACTTAGACTTAAACCTAATCTAAATAAAGAACACTGGATTATTTGTTCTCAACTTTCCCAAATTTTACGACCGTTTAAAGAAATAACAAGTACAATGAGTGACCAAAAATACTTGAATGCTAGTTCAGTGATTGTTATGGTACGCTGCCTGCAAGAATCTTGCAATAAAATTTTAGCAAACGGCATACTTACATCCATAGTATCCGACATAGTACAATTACTAATATCGGGTTTAGCAAAAAGATTTAGAGGGATAGAACAGAGTGGCACATTGTCATTATGTACATTTATGGATTCACGATTTAAAGTGCAGAACAAAACAAAAAGTTAAGAAGCTGGTTACTTCTATAATTAACGAACAAGAAGATTGTACTATTGAAAATCAACCAGTACAAGAAAAAGAAACCAATAAATATAACTTAAGTCCATGGTTTATTTTTGATCAATTAATTGGAGATGACTCATCTACACGTACACCTGCATCGAGAGTCCATTACAACGGTGGAAAAACCATCGCCATGTATATCCTAACTTAACCACTATATTCATAAAGTATTGTAAATGTGAACACATGTTCAAAATCT